CACATGGAAAAAACAACATGGAAATAGGAACACGGTTGAAGGGTACACATAGAGGAGAGTCGTTATGCAAGATATTTAAAAGCCAGTTATTTAAATCAATTTTTAACAGTAAAAGCTAATGATGTATCCCTGCTTTTAAATACACATTAGCATGTGAATAATTATTGTTCCTTGTGTCCTTCATCCTTTTACTCGTGATCTTTGCCCTGCAAAGTTTGAGATGAATCTGACCATAACGACAGAAAAAGTCTCACAGTGTGACCCTAAAGCCTGCTGCACACGAGAGCAATCTGCTGAGCAAACGGCCTCGAATGACCGTTTGCTCAGCAGATACCTCGCTGTGTGCGCCTGATTTTCACGGAGTTTTCCGCCTCACGAGACGCTGAGGTGAACATCTGACCAGTTTGATATTTTCTGCCTCACGGGGGGTAAAAACTCGCCGTGTGCGCACTACTGAGCTGCTGGCTGAGCTGAAATATTCTAGTGGCCAATCAAAGAGCATTCTCCGCTCACATGACCCCGATACTGTCGGATGGATTCTGGGTCTTCCAGGCGCATCCCTTGGAGTAAATGGCATAAACTCCTCGCCTGGCCCACCTTCCCAGCCACCGTACACATACTTTCCTAACCTTGAAATGCCGGTGGCGGCGGCGCTGCATCAACAAAAAAAGTATAGGCATTTCCTCCGTTTCCAGCTCTGTCTCCGTTTTGTTTATTTTCTGACATACAGACAAGGGACTGCCATCTTGGGGTCATGTGAATGGAGAATGCGCTTTGATTGGCCACTAGAATATTTCAGCTCAACGAGTTTTTACCCCCGGGAGGCGGAAAATATCAAACTGGTCAGATGTTCACCTCAGAGTCTCGTGAGCTGGAAAACTCCGTGAAAATCAGGCGCACACGGCAAGGTATCTGCTGAGCAAACGGTCATTCGAGGCCGTTTGCTCAGCAGATTGCTCTCGTGTGCAGCAGGCTTTAGGGGTACACTGTGAGACTTTTTCTGTCGTTATGGTCAGATTCAACTCCAACTTTGCAGGGCAAAGATCACGAGTCATGTTCTCACACTGTGTGACCCATTGCTTGGATGTAACCTGACTGCTCACATTGTGAGTGTGGTACCTCGGACGTAAAAATATGCTACAAATTATAGTTTTTATGCTAAACATCAGACATTCGAGTCTGAAAACCCAGAAAAGAGTAGACTGTTGGGAGCCTGAGTCTCTTCCCCCTCCGGTCGGCTCATGAGTCTCCTAAATAACCAAAAATATGGATGTACAGTGATCCCTCGCTACTTCGCGGTTTGTTTATCGCGGATTCACGACTTTGCGGATTTTTTCTTTGGAGCCTTATTCAAGGGAACTTCGCTGATTCGCGGTATTTTTCACCGATTCGCGATATTTTTCAATGCGAAATATCAAGAAATTCCTGTTTTTTTTTCATCAGTTTCATCATAAAATGCACTTTTTGCAATAAAACTATAAATAAACCAAGTAAAAAAATTCTATGTAAAGGGAGGGTTTTAAAAGTCTGAATACTGAATACGTACCTGTTAAATAAATACTGTAAATATGGTGTCCCTACTTCGCGGATTTTCACCTATCGCGGCCAGGTCTGGAACGCATCTACCGTGATAAACGAGGGATCACTGTAAGCGAATGAACCAAAAAGTTTTTTTTGGTCCAATTTGCCTCACGCCCCGAATCGCACATTTTGTACTTCAATTAAAATGAAAAGTAATTATGTGTGTTCCAACCACGTCTGCCTTGTAATGAAACGATTACAAAGCAGAAGTTGCATATATGATATCACAGTAGAACTGCTTCTACGCCAGCGTAGCTGCTACTTTCACCATGGCCAGATTTATGGTGGTTTTCTCCATGTTTAATGCTCCTTCTGTCATCCTGGAAGAACTTTTGAAGGAATGTCCACCGAGCCCCAGGCAGCAGCAGTATTTAAAGTGCAAGTAAGCTTGGGGAGTTCCTTTCGCATTTGTAAACAGAATCAGCTGAGATGGCAAACTGGAGCGATGCAGAGATCTGGGAGCTTCTGGCTGAGCTGAAGCACAGATTACAGGACAGTTCACTGGGAATGTGAAGGACAGCTGCCCAAGCGGCTTGCAAGTGAACTTAAGGACGGGTCGACAGCATGGAGACTTCCCCCACATTCCCTCTATGCCACCATGTCTTAGTCATTAGTGAAAAACACATGATTGTGTCCATGGACGTAATTTTCACTTTAGAAGTGTGTGTGTGTGTGGGGGGGGGGGGGTCTTTACAGTATGCTCTAATGGGAAACGGGCTTCAACACAAACGGTTGTTTTCCCTCTTGGTCCTAGAGCTCAACCAGTGTCATTTTAATATAGCGTAATATTGTTTTTGGATGGTAAAAAGTGCAGGGGTCAAAACTTGACTTTGGAAAAAGTGGGGGGGACATGTCCCCCCTGTCCCCCCCCCCCCCAAAATTACGTCCATGATTGTGTCACATTACCGCCATAGATGGACCACTCATTAATAGCCAAAGGTTCCCTGATGCCATGTCCAATTTGCAGCAAAGTGGTGCCATTGTTTTATGAAACGGGCTAAAAATGCACTCATTGCAGGATATTAAAATGTTTTATTGCCGACTCTCAGCTACAACTGCATCTAATTTTAGTTGTAGCCATCTTTGCACTGCTAAACTGATTGTGTTGAATTGGGTTGACTCCAATTGTTGGTCAGTGTAGCTACATCCAGTGATCTCCCTCACATGCACGCACGCACAGGGGTGGGTGATATTACTTTGTTCATAATTCCTGGATTGAAACAATAAAGGAATACATTTCTGACCAAGTCAACTGGAATATTTTACAGAAAAACAATTTTTTGTTACAACAACTCTTTAATATCTGAAATAAAACTGCATCCAAAATGTGTAACAAGCTCTTGTGTTCTGAGTCAAATATTTAGCATCCAGGTGTTTTAAGGCTGAAGTAGTTCTGCTGTACTTGATAAACACATGGAGGTTGTCCTCACTGGTCCCAACCGGAGCCAGGATTCATCCCATTTTCTTCATTTTCATGTGAGAGAGTCCTTTTTTCTCATCAACAGTCGTTATTGTTCAGCGTATCAGTCCGCACAAGCTGGTGCACCACAGTGATGGGAATAAACAGCAAATATGCTTTTGGTTGGCTAGTTTGCTGTTGCTCTTCAGTGAACATCCTCATTCTTTTTATTTGTTCATCTTTTTTTCAAGGAAAACTAAGAAAAAAACAAACAAACAAACAACCTGACAGGGATAATCCTCACCTATCTGCGTGGACCAGGCTCCTGTGTAATGAATTTTCTCCAGTCATTTTAGCGCTCCTTAGCTTTACAACCTGGGGGGTTTATTTATGGAGCCTTACACATGCAGGAGTGAAAGATTGTTGTCACCTTGGAAATTTGAAATGAAAGTCTAAGTGGGTATACAACCAAATGTACTGGGTATTTTTCTGGTATCAGATATTTTAGTAAACCTCGGACAACATTCAGTGAGCAAAATTCATGCGCGCACACACACACACACATGTTTGAGTCTGCGGTGACACAGCTGAGGTTTTCCCATTAAGGCCGTATTTATATTAACGTCTTATTGGGTAATTGTATTTGACATCATTACAAAAGGCCTGTGTCATTTATTAGGCTGGTTGGACCAACATTACGAACTCTTCTAGAAAAGCCCATAAAAGTGCAGAGTGTTGTTTTCAGGCTGAGCAGTAAAAGTGAAGTTTGATCCAGAGAAAGTGCTGATTGGATTTACAGCCGGCCACAAACTCCTCGTCAGAGCGAATGCAGCTTCATGTCTGCTCGTTGGAGCTTGATGTAGCGCTGCCAAGCAGCTTTTACAAATTAAAAACGAAACTTTACGAGGGAAGCTTCTCATTAAGTAGTCAATTTGCTTCTTTATTTATGTCTCCCTTTCTAGTTTATGACGTCCCTCTCCTCCTCCTCATACGTCTTCTCCGCCTAAATCCCTTCGTCCTTCACTCTGTTCGATTCTGGCAGCCCTGGAGCCCAGCTCATGCTTCAGCTGTCAGGCCAGGATTCGTCTCATAAAGATGAGGCAGAGCGGTACTTAGAGCTGGAAGAGTGAGATATCTCAGTGTCTGAACATCTTGACTTGGAGTTTGGGTTGATGGTGAAGCTCATTGCCCTTCGGCAATCCTTCTGTTGCATCTTTGCTAAAGCAAACATTCCTCACACCTCGATCTAGCCATGTTTCCTATCTACATGCCCTTGTGTTTGTAATAAATAAATAAATAAATAAAAATAAGCCTCTGGTCCTCCATTATCACATAAAATGCATTTTCAAGCTCTCTGACTGGTTTAGTACCTGGAATGGAGTGCAGATGATTGCATCAGTGTAAAACATGAAAGAGAAGTGTGCATGGATGTCTTGGATTCCAGAAAAGTTTCAGAAATTTTGATTTAAAAAATTGATTTCAAAGTTTTTATTAGACGATGACAAATGTTCCCCTTTGTTCTGGATAACCCCCAAAATACAAATCGCCATTTTACACAACCGTTCCCTCCTTTATGCAATCAGAATTGGATCGTTGTCCTGCAAACAGTCAGCGTCACATGGACGTGCAGATCATGCCTATATTGAGTCCATCGGTCCAGACCACCTACGACATCCAAAGTAGGTGTTTGCACAGTTGGTAGATTTATGATTGAAAATTGTGACCAAATAGTTGCATCCTCAAGGAGGAAGACTATCTGACGCTAAGTCAGACATCGTCTGACAAACTCAAACAGCCTGTCGGTGCGTTAGGAATAGCTTCAGCCAGTTGGATGTCATTTGGTCATTGGATGGCTTTCAGTCTCACAATACCCTTTCAGTTGTAGAAAAATGGCTGCTTTACAGTGATTAGAAGAAGAACCTCCTCATCTGTACTTCGTTAAATCTAAAGATATTTGATATTTCTGTCACTTTCTGGGTAACTTTATTATTTCATACTGTAATCAACTTTTTTTCTGCAGCATCTTACAGCCAGACATGGGGAAAAAGTCCAAATACAAGACAACAGTCAAGAAAAAGACTCTCAACCCTGAATTTAATGAGGTATTGTCTCTCTTGGTCTAAACTGCACACCTGGTGATTTCCCTATTGAGCTCTAAATGATCTGCACATTGAAGTTTAAAATGACTTAATTTTGTTATCTCCATTTCTCTCCGATTGATTTGAACGATCCCTTGTGTGCGACACCTTCGCAGGAGTTTTCGTATGAGGTATCCTTGGACCTGCTGGCAAAGAAAACCCTGGAGATTTCTGTGTGGGACTACGACTTGGGAATGAGCAACGACTTCATAGGTAGGCTGAAAGACTCTTAAAAGTGGAGGGAAATGACTACATGGAGCCAAGAACATGACTGTTGGAAATAAATATAAAGCAAGCAGGGCAAGTGGATGAAGAGAAGGATATGGGGGGAAACGGGAGACATGAGGGGTAATTACGAGGCTTGATGGAATGAGTGAGCAGGAAAAGGAGGATTTGAATAGAGAGAATAGAAAGAGGAGATATCAAAAAGCAGGATGCATCCTTGGATCTTTATCGTTCATGAACTCCCCACATCAGATGGCTGCATTTTAATCAGACTGCTGAACAGCTTTCCCATCGCCTGAGGAGTAGATCGTGGCAACAAAGCACACAGGAGCTTAGAATGGGATGGAGAACTAGAGGGGAGACATGGGGAGAATGGATTACCTCCTCATGAGCTGGAAGGCCTTCAGATCAAAGCACTGCACTTTGTCAAATGTGTGTGAGCGCATGTTATTAGTGTGAGGTGGTGGGTGTGTGTAGGTTGGAGGGAGATGCTGGCTGTTGAGATAAAACCTGGTAAGTTACAGCTCTGTGGGGGGGAAAGGCCATCAGTGTAACTCATAGCTCTCGATAAAAGCCGTTCTTCTCACAACTATGATCATTACTGTTTAAAGCTGCAGCTGCATGCCGGTTCTGTTAATTAGGTCCAAGAAAGAAATGACACCAAGACAAAGAAGAATGGTGAAAAAATGTGATAAAGAGGACAGGCACAATCCCGGAGCGCCCGGTGTGCAGGAAGAATGAGAGCAGCCTGAATCAGAATCAGAATAGGTTTATTGCCATTGTCAGTGAACAAACAATTCACAAACTAGGAACTTGCTTCGGTACTAATGTGCTACATATAACATGAATAATAAGATTAAATATAGAATAAAATATAATAATAAAAAAACTAGAATAAAACTTTCAGCTATAAAAAATAGCAGGTAATGGTAACATGGCCGATAACGTGTCATTGTGTCGAGTACAGAAGACGAGCATGGTTGTGTGTTTATAATCTATTCACAAGTCTAACGGCAGATGGAAAGAAGCTGTTCTTATGGCGGGAGGTTCTGGTCCGGATGGACCGTAACCTCCTGCCTGAGGAAAGCGGCTCAAAAAGTCTGTGACCCGGGTGCGAAGCGTCAGCTGCTATCCGACCTGCACGCCCCCGAGTCCTGGAGACGTACAGGTCCTGGAGAGATGGAAGGCTGCAGCCACTCACCTTCTCAGCGGAGTGCACAATGCGCTGCAGTCTATGTTTGTCCCTCACTGTGGCTCCAGCGTACCACACAGCGATGGAGGAAGTGAGGATGGACTCAATGATGGCCATGTAAAACTGCACCATCATCTGGGCCGGCAGCTTGGCCTAAGGCTAAGCAGACACTGTCAAATAACAGTGTGAAGGGTGAGATGTTACAGATTCAAGGAAGAGAAAAATGGATCCACAAAGACGCTGATGAGAAGGCAATCCACCCAAGAGTAAAGGTTTCATCTGAACCATGAATCAAACTCAAAGCACTGACCTGAATTTGGTTATGTTCAACATTCTGCCTTCTCTAACTTACAGGGAAACAATAAAAAGGTCACAGGAAACTAAATGTTTTAGAGACACTACGCGTACCTAAAGGGGTTTAAATTGTTTGGGTGAAGTCAGCAAGTTTTATCACAAATTTGTCGGAGTAGGGTCAGTGCTTTGCAACGTTAACTTAGGAATTTTGAATAATGTAAACCTTTTTATGTAAAAATTGTTCAATAAATATGACAAGGACCAAAAATGCCAAAGCTGTTTGGTTAATTAAACCAGTGGTTAATTACTGTCACCATGACAACCTTCATCCTCTTTTAGTTATAAACAGGCTTTTAGAGGCAAAAGACACCCAAAGCACTGAAAACTGCATACAAACTAAAAACATATTACATATAGAAAATAGCCCAAATTATAATGCAAATTACAAAATAAAAACTGAATGAAAACAGCTTTCAAAACTGTGTTAAACCAGAAGAAGCACAATTATTAAAAACCTAAAAATAACCAGCTACTAGGAAAGACTCTTACAAATCTGCAGCTTCTGTGCTTCTCTGATTTCCACTGTGAGCTTTTTCCACAGCTTAGGGACCCACATTTCACCAGTGGAAGTACCAGCAAGTCATGATGCAATGACTGAAGCTCTTGAGTGGGGGTGTACCAGACCAAAATGTCAGATATAGGGAGCCTAAGTCACGCACATTTACTTCTGGACCATGGGTCCCCAGGAGAATGAAAAAAATGAATGCAAGTCAACGGGACTAAAAACGCAATTTTCTCATTCCGCTTGTTACGTGCCATGGACTTTACATATGATGTCCATGAATTTTAAAGAAGCATCTTGATACCACGAACGCCCTTATTTTCAAATGGGGGGAAATGTTATTTTAGGTTTTGTGTGAAAAAAAAGTCCAGGACCACAAATGTGCTTCACGAAAGTGACATCATCGAACCAGACAATAAAATCAGTGAACTTAAATCCTTCTTTCAGGAGGAAAGAACCACCATAAATCTGGCCATGTGGTAAGTAGCAGCTATGCTAGGGGAGAGGAGATTCTGTGGTGATGTCATCTGTGCGACGTGTGTAGTCATGCTAATTATGAACTTTTACAAGATGATAAAAGTATGTGACAGGCATGGGCAAAACACCCATCATTAGTTTTCATTAAAATTGCAGTACACCATATGTGCGATCCAGGGCGTAAGGCAAAGCGGATTAGAAAAGAGCATTTTTAGCCCCGTTGACTTCCATTCATTTTGTCATTCTTCCAGGGACCAATGAGCCGACTGGAAAGGGAGGAGACTCAGGCTCCCTATGGTAACTGTGCCCTGGAGAAAATTAAAAGAACATTTTGCACCTTAAATTTTATACTAAAATGAACCAGGAGCCAGTTTTAGGTGGCCACGATAATATAACAATATATTCACATCACTCAGTCCCCAATAAAATCAAACTGCCAGGTTTTGGACCATCTGAAGCAGAGAATGTCATGTTCTGTGTCCCATTGGTCCCCAGCCCCCTCCTGTTCGTCCTCTGCGTTCCCCTCATGTGTCCCCTTGTGCTCTGTGTGTCCTTATGCTTCCCCAGTCCTCTCCAGGTTCTCCTCATGTGTCTCCTTAGCCCTTTTCAGACAGACATTCTGGAACATTTGCGGACAATTCAATCCGGTTTTTAACCGGAACTGTGTTTTCAGACACACTACTTTTGTACCGGGACTTGTCCTTTCAGCTGCGTTCACACAGCAGGGAAAAGTACCAGATGTCTGACGGCGGCGGGGGGTGTGGTGGGGGGGAGAATCGGACTCATGTTAAGAAGAAGAAGAAGAAGAAGAAAATATCATTTCTATAGCGCCTCTCAAGATAAAAATCACGAGGCGCTTAAGCATAATTCTGCACACACGAAGACGCATAAGAGATCTGGATGATGAAGCTCAATGGTTAAAGGAATCACTGAAGCAGTGTGAAGCGCTCCGTCGCGCGTCTAGGCGGTACCGTAGGAGGCGAGCTGCCTTGGTTCGCTGCATACTACAGCAGTGAGCTATCTAGGTGCGCACAGTGTCCCCCGGTCCCCTCCCCCTCCCCCTTGTCCGGAACTTTACCTCACCAGTCTGAAGCAGCCACCCTGTCCGTAACAAGTCCGGACCTGTTACTAGGGGCTTCGTCCGGATAAATTCCGGAACATGTTATCCGGATGTTTGTATTCAGACACAAAGGTCTTACGGACAGAGTCCGGAACATTTCCGTTTTTCATGGCCTGTCTGAAGGGGGCTCTTGTGATCTCCAGCTCCTTCTAGGCTTCCCTCATGTTTCCTCCTAGTCACTCCCGTTTAGTTGCTGTTGGTTTGTATTAGTCCTCCTCACCCCTCTAGTCATTAGTTGTTTACCTTTGCCCTTAGGCACTGTCCACACCTAGCCGGGGATCTGCCAAAACGTAGATATTTTTCTACGTTTTGGCCTGTCATCCACACGAAAACAGAGTTTTTTCACACGGAAACGGATCTTTTTAAAAACTCCGGCCAAAGTGAAGATCTGCGTTTTCTCCGTTTTGGGTGTCTGCGTGTGGACGGACAAAACCGGAGTTTTAAGGTCCGCAACGTCACTTTCCGCGACAAAAAAATGCTGACATCACGTACGACCTGTGTTTACACTAGCCGACATCATGGATGCCCTCAGAGCTGCGCTCTGTCACTACCCGATCCATCAATTGTCCAAGCGCTTTCTGCTTGTTTGTTTTTGCAAGAGGAATTACTGCTGCTTGCGGAAGACCACAGACGAAGGACGAGGTTAAGAACGGGGTAGTACTGCCGCCTACAGGTCTGGCATGTCCTTAACAACGTATTTATCCGGGTACGTGTGGACAGAGTTTTTTTTTAAACGCGTTGGTGTGGATGCACGTTTTTGGAGGGGCGGATATTCGTTTTTAAAAAACCCCGGCTACGTGTGGACTAGGCCTTAGTCTTTAGGTTTAGTTATTTAGTGTTTTATAGGTTATGGTTTATCTTCCCCTCTGCTTAAGTTCTTTCCCCATTTAGTTTATTAATGGCACCTGTCTTCCCTCTAGACCTCACTCCTCACACCTGTCACCTGTTCCCATGAGTGCTTCCCTCTGTGTTAAAAACCCTGTCTTCTTCTCAGTGTTTGTTGGTCCATTGTCTTTGTCAGTGTTGTTCTGTCCTGCTCTAGAAACTCCAGGTTCTTGCTCACAAATGAGTTTTTGTTTTTGTAATCCAGTTTTTTCTAGATTCTAGGCTTGGCTTCCTCCCCTTTGGAAATTTACTCATCATCCTAATAAAAGGACTTTTCATTTCTTCAGCCGCTCCTGCCTGAGTTGTCTGGATTTCTGCATTTTGGGTCCAAACCTCCTGCTCTCACCGCAACAGAGAAACTACATTGTTAATAATAACGTTAAACAAGAAAGTCCAATCATCAATGTGTGGGGAAATGGAAGCATGAAGTACTGTCTCTATTTGAGTATGCATCCATCTAACCACATCTGTAAGATTCAGACACAACTCATCAGGGACACAGGCTTTTTGTCAACAGAAACTAAATACCAAACAAACTGTTGCTGTGCAAAAACTAAGCGGTTTCATCGGAAATCTTGAACCATAAGCTAGAAGGTTCTGAAAGTCACATATTTAATGTTTTTGTGGCTGACATTTTTAGGGATGATTCAAGGTTTGTGCATTGACACCAGCACCTGTAGTCACGTTGATCTGTTGTACTGAAGAAAAAACTAATTGAAAACATGAATGAAATTTAGTTACATCTTTCCATCTACTGTAGTAAAAGTTTCTCTCAGAAGCTGCTGCTCCTTATCAACCTGGTTTACAAGGAATGGAAAGAATATTAATAGTTAGAAAAAGCTGGTTCATAATTGCTAAAACAATCCTTTTGCTACAGCCATGTGTCTGTAAGATATAAAAAGTCATTATGATGATTCAGTATAAAATCTTAAATGAACAATATTTAAGTAAAGTAAATGTTTTATTCAATAGAGTACATTTAACTTATATATATATATATATATATATATATATATATATATATATATATATATATATATATATATATATATATATATATGGGGGGTGTTCTGGTGTAGTAATAATATTAATTTACATACTTATAATTTGCTGATGTGGATCTCAATTCTGGTAGAAATCTAGACAAACCATAGAAGTGGCAAAAGAGTCTTGTTTCCCTTGTAGTCTTAGCAGGTCTACCATTGATCTCAACCGTTTTGTGTCTGGCCAATCACAGCGCTCTACATTTATTGGGGGGTCTTAAAGCTGCGATAGAGAACTTAAATAAAAATTGCGTCGGCTCAACAGAACAGTGTTCATTTAAAGCGGCTTTGACATCAACTTTGGACGATTTAGACTTGAGCTGTTCTTTGAGACATGAGCATAGAGGTACTGAAGTCGTTTATTTCAAATAGTGCAGTACTGACATCCATAACGATGAGTGTTGGATTGTTTGTTGCTCTGGTTGGTCCTGATGCTGATCAATTGCATGTGGAGACATTTTGAAAGACAACTGTTGATTTCGCTTTAACGTTTTGTGGTCAGACTAAATATTTACATATGCAGGATGGCCTGCCAGGCAAAAGTTAAGGGGTATTTCAATTGGATGCTGCGTGAGCAGACATTGTCTCAGTGGGGGTTTCTGAAGGTAACATCAAACAGGCTGCAGAAAGGTGTGTGAGTCTAGACATTTGCTTCCTGGATTGACCTGATTTTGGAGGATTAATACCGTGTGCTGTAATCCTAGAAACAAGAGCTGGGTAATCCAAAACGGGAAGACTGCCATCTCTCTGAATCAGTTGGATCTCAACTCTCTATCTTTTTAATTTTATTTTATTTTATTTTTATTTATTTTTTTGCTTATCATTAAAAAAATTTTTAGCAATCCAAGTGTTTAAAAGGAGACTTCTGTGATGCTTTCTTGATCATTAAATGGGCTGTGCAAGATCCATAGAGGTCTTTCTCAAATGAAATCATGAGAAGAGCAGAAGCTCAGGTACAGTTTTCACGAGTCTGCTTCCCTGCGTTGCATGGGTTCTGAACTTCACATAAATCTTCCCTTTTTCCCCGGATCTTCATCGTTCCTCTGTTGTCCCACATATGTCAGGACAACCGAACATTCTTTTGTCGCCATCATCCATGGCTCAGGCAACATTTAATCGATTCTCTGTTCAGCGATGGGGGGATTTGTGTGAACGGAGGAGTGAGGTTGGGTAGAGAAACACTGTGCCTTATTATGCCATCAAAGATGACTCTGGGCTGTGAGCTCAGACACTCCGAGGCAGCTCCTGTCCTGCTAGCAGCAGCGTCTGAGGCAGTGTTCGATGCAGCGTGTAGATAAGTTGAAGATCAACAGTCAAACCTTGTTTGCTCCAGGCTGTCATTTTCTAAGGGCTTTGTATTAATCTCTGAGACTACTGCCTGCATCTGCCTGTGCTACAGCCATTTCAGTTCCCTCCACCACTTATTCTCCACACTCTGTATATTTGTGTTCTCTGAAGGTTTCTTATTGGCATAATTATCCAGCGGTTCTTTACTCCGCTTCGTCTTTCGCAACTCTTATCTTAGCCAATTTCATTTTCTGCTTCTGCAAGTGAGTCTTGCAGATGTTTTAGCGACATGCAGTGCTAATAATACCCATAAGTTCTGCATGGAACACACACAGCTTGTTGCTTTTCCCTCAGCATTCCTCCCTGGTGGGATCTTTGTTTCTAGAGTCTGATGTAACAACTTTAGGGCCACAGAGCTCCAGGGGTAACCCTAAGAGCTGTACAAACCTTCGCTGAAGACTTGTTTCTAATAAATCATAAATCAGTGTTTATATTAACAGAATACTAATCAACGAGAAATGACCCATAGCTAATCTGTACATAATTTTTAAATGAAGGATATTGACTTTTAGTCATTAATCTTACTGCATATGAAGGTCTGTTTTGGCTTCAAATTTGACAGCTAATGACTTCATTCTACAGTATGTGACAGTACAAAATGTACACATTTAAATTTGTTTTAGAGCTCTGTTTTAGAACCATATTTTGCCCTTTGAAATTCATTCCTTCTGTTTTTAAAATTCAGAATGCAAAAAAACTCTACTTCCTAAATGTGGAATTTTTAAGGAAATTGAGAAAAATGGAATTTGAAAGAAAAAATGGATTTTAAATCTAAAACTTCATCCATCCATCCATGTTTTCTACTCATCCTAGTCACAGGGGGGGCATCTCCAGCAGAGATGCCCACACGCCTTCTCCACAGCAATCTACATTCGCTTTGGAACCCTGAGATGTTCCCTGGCAAGTGTGGAGATATGATACTACCAGTGTGTCCTTGGCCGACCCAGGGGGCCTCCTGGGGAGATATGAGGCTGCTAACACATCTTGGGGCAATATCTGTAAAATTTTCCAAGTTAAATATATATATATATATACACTCACCTATTGTCATGAGCTTTGGGTAGTGACCGAAAGAACAAGATCGCGGATACAAGCGGCCGAAGTGAGTATTCTCTGCAGAGTGGCTGGGCTCTCCCTTAGAGATTGGGTGAGAAGCTCTGTCATTCTGGAGGGGCTCGGAGTAGACCCGCTACTCCTCCACATCGAGAGGAGCCAGTTGAGGTGGCTCGGGCATCTGGTCAGGATGCCTCCTGGCGAAGTTTTCTGGGCACGTCCAACTGGGAGGAGACCAAAAAGTAGACTCAGGACACGGTGGAGGGACTATGTCTCTCATCTGGCCAGGGAACACCTTGTGATTACCCCGGAGGAGCTGGCCCAAGTGGCTGGGGAGAGGGAAGTCTGGGCCTCTAGCCTTAGGCCACTGCCCCCGCGACCTGACTTCGGATAAGCAGATGAAAATGGATGGATGGATGTATATACATATATATATATATGTATATATATATATATATATATATATATATATATATATATATATATATATATATATATATATATATATATATATATATATATATATATATATATATATATATATATATATACATATATAATTTCAGATGGCACCATCTACAGGCAGAAAATCATATCGCACCTTTAAGCCCCTCTCCCTACATCCGTTATTGCGGCTGGAGGCAACACAACACTCTTGAATCTCATGAATGCCCACCTCTGGCTGATCAATGGAGCTTTTCTATTAATGACTTACTTGTCCATAAGACATGATACCAACCCTGCATCATTCTAGGTCATCCTTTAAACGCTCGCACATGCTCAGTGATTGACCTCTGTACGTAAGTGGATGTCCAACGCTATTGGCTCATGCTTAGTGGTGCTCAATCAGAATTGCATGGGGCTCTATGGGATGGGGGATGGGCTTGGCAAAACAAAATTGACATATTGCCTCTATGACAGTACAAGGTAAGACTATCACTTTTACAGAATTCTTTAAAAATAAATGTTTCTGAAAGGTGCAAAACTCCAGATTGCTGCTCTAGCACTACAGACAAATAAACACAGACAAAAACATTTTACTCCACCTTTCAATTTTTGACAGTGGGTTATTAAAATCTTTATCTGGTGAAAAAATGTATAATGTGGAGCAGAAAAAATGGTTTTGTGAACATTGTATAAATCCTGTCTATAAGAGGTTATTTTAGTGACTTTGTTTTACTGGTACTTGACTTTTTCAGGATTAGGATGCCACAGCGCTCTTATTTCTTGAGGCGGGTTCTGTCTCCCTTTTGTCAACTGTCTCTTCTTTTTAAGTAAGAAACAACAATAATTTTCCATCTTGGTTTTTGTTCTTTCCTTCGGTCGCAGGCGGAGTGGAGCTGGGCATCAACGCAAGTGGACAGAGACTCAGACACTGGTTTGAGTGTCTCAAAAACAAAGGGAAGAAAGTGGAATATTGGCACACGCTCACACAGCAGGGAGCCCCAAGCAGTGACAAGCCGGACTAGATCACACTCCCGCAGACAAAGGCACTCCCACGAGCACGTGTCTCCCTGAGCGATGGTCTAACAACAACAAAGATCCGGACAAAGAACAAAACATGCAATAACAATGTTCAAAAACCTAAATTTGTCTTGTACTGCTACTGAGCACATCACAAACTATTAGTATGTATTCATACTAATATCAGTAGATGTGAATATATGTAATCAGATTTTTTCATCATGATGTCCTCGTTGAAGCGTTGCTGCAGCAACAGATTGCGTTTAGACCTCACCGTACTGTGGAAGTTGCTCATAATCCTTCAAATTGACACTGAACGAGGAGATTATCCCAACGGGCCTAAAGTTCCCATTCAGTGCCCAGGTCCATGTTTGTGACTCGTGACGTGTGCGACATAGTTAACAGGAGCGGTTATGCTGGTGACAAGTTGATCTGATGCAAAACATCACACCATATTTTACTGTAAAGCACAAGAAGAGATCCATTAGGTGGATTGGTACCTTTACTTTCTCAGTGTTCTGTCTTTTTCTCTGTGACAGTGGTCTTCTACCACCTCTTTGTCAGCAAGTGTGTGTGTGTGTGTGGTCGTTATGACAATATGAGTGCCTACATTTACTGTGTGTTTGTCTCTATTCATGTTTCAACTTCAGAAGTTGTGAGGAAACATTGATGAAGGGCGAGAATGAGTCAAAAACAGCTAAAACTAAAATGGAGAAAGACCTCTGTGACTGTAACAGAACGCAAGAGTTGGTACCGATCCCAAAAGATAATAAAATATCTGAGACCAACCCGCCCCATCTAGGGTGAGTCGTCTTTACCCGACAGGTGTTCCTTGCATCGGGTGTGAGTTTTCCTCAGTTTCCAGGATGCTTTAGTTGGAACAGATTTAACCTTTTTATTGTATTCACTCATTTTATCTGAACCACACAAATCCAGTATCACACACCTGAGACATGCACTCACATCAGAGCAACCTTTGTGCCTCTTTCTGTTTTTAAAATGTATTTTAGACGTTCTTTCATAAATGTAGTGTGACGTCAGTGTGGATACGATAAACTAGTGTCAAAAATGCTGAAATGATGTGAATTAACATTGTAGTTTGATGCGTTATGATTAACGTACGAGAAGGATGTAAGGTGAGAGGACTTGTGCATTGAAACTGTATTTTGGAGGTCTTAAATTAGCTTCATTGTTGAATATTTACTATAAAAGGCTTTAAATGATGAAGAAAATTACTTTCTTATATTTTGAATTATATTTTTATACTTATGCCATACCACTTTTTGTCTGTTGGATTAAAATGTAAAATCAAAACAAATATCAGCATGTAATGGAAACTGGCCAATAATCTGCACGATGGGATTATTTCCTGTTCGTCTGATCTGAAACGCCAAAGTTGTTTTTGCCTCCTGTCTGTGAGCGCACAATAGCTAAGCTACAAAAAAAATCTGACACAATTTCAAGTCTATGAACTCCCCATTGTTAAGCACTGCTTCACTCAGCAATAAAAACTGTGAAAGTTAGTTTTTTCAGAAATATACGTTTGAAGATTCATCATCACACCCTGGTGAAATTACATCTCTAGATTTAACCAACCCCCTGGGTGGCGCGGAGCTGCACCACCGGCTCCGCTCGGGAACTATTTGGAGGTGAATAAATCACAAAACTGTCTAATGTATCACGTTGGAAGAAAGGTTACACTGAAACAGATTTCCTTCTTAGCCGGTTATTTTTTTCAGTTTTTCCTCCTTTAAATAAAGCCAAAGAGGGACGTAGTCATTGTTTACAATCTGTCCCGCCTCTATACTTCCTGGTTCCAAAACCAATCATATGTGAGCTCGCAGGGTGATTCTGCACCGTGATTTGTAATTCGACACCAGCTCGCAGGAAGCAGCAGCTTTGTGGATAGAATGTTAGCCAGTAAAAGGAAGCAAAATAAAGTAAAGCTATTTTTGTTTAACCCTGATTTGTAATTCGACACCAGCTCGCAGGAAGCAGCAGCTTTGTGGATAGAATGTTAGCCAGTAAAAGGAGCGTCCCGGAAGCAAAATAAAGTAAAGCTATTTTTGTTTAACCCTAAAATCGCGTACAGAAGGCTAAAAGCTATCATCGAGCTAACAGTGATTGAAGACAAAAATAGTCGGATTAAAAAATATCTCTTATCTACTTTTTCAATTACCAAATTCAATTTTACAGAATCTTCCGGCGCTGATCCGTAACTGGCAACAGTTGCTCAGAGCGGACTTGTTAGTTTGGAAACATCGACTGCAGTACCCAAGACTGACCGCAGGATGTCATTCTTACTTAATGCACCTTTAATAAAAAAAATCCACATATTCATCATGCTACAACTGGAAGAGAAGATACATGTTGAGGGAACAGAGTTGTGCATTCCAACGTATGTACTGACTCTGGCTCATGTTAACATTCTCATCATATGGTTTGTTTTTAAATATTGTGCTTGTGCGTTTGTTTTACTTACGCTGTTAGAACAAAGGCAATCTGGAACTCTGGGAAACTCCTTTTCCTCAGCTCAGAGTTTATTGAACCGCTGGTTGGACACGTGCCATCCCTTACTCCGTTTCAGTCACAGAGGAACTTTAACAACAGATACAGCATTTGTGGACATGTAATATTTTACTGTTGTTGTTGTTTTTTTTTTTTTAATTGATGATTTGTCTCTGCGGCCAGCAGAAAGGTTTCTGCTTTTGGATGTATTTCTTGCAGCTTTAATGAACCAGAACCGGACTAAAGAGAAGTGACATCTGTGACTCTGAGTTCTGCTCCGGTAGAGACACAGATGATGCAAAGCAATGATATCTTTATTTTTGGTCTGTCTGTTTGGTTTTAAATGAACAAACCTGTCCTGTGCTTAAAAACCTTTAATGACCCAACACTGCATGCTCTATTTCAGAAAAGTGTTAGTCTTTTACTCTGTCCTCCCTATTTCCTCTGACCTTTCAGATGTCTTTTTTTATTTTAAACTCAAGAGTTCCTGCAGAGAAATTCTGTGCAAGCTAGTGGAAGTGTACACATACAGAATAGAGTCTCCTCCTGTGGTTGTAAGAAGGATTTAGCAAACAAACTCTGGAAACCCACTTTGCATGCATAAATGTCTACCAACTTATCGAAATACCCTCTCCTGGTTGGGTTATGATGATAGCTTCCATCACAATCAGTCAGTGACCTCTGGGAGTTTTCTAACCGTTGACACCATCCAGCTGCTTGTTTCCTGTCAGCAACATATGAAATAGTGACCAACATACCGATCTGTTAGTGATGGGTGGAGTTAATCCAACAAAGGGCTTCTTCAAAGCTTAAAACAAGAGGTTTAACCGCCTTCAGTGTTATCTTCAGTAAATTCATTAACAGGTTTGGGAAAGGGACGGTGAGTCTGTTTATACTTTCTCTATGCACATTAAAAGTCCCAGAAGTGAGATAATCAAACCAAAACAACAGGAGGGTGTCAGTACTTTATTGTTTTTTTGGGAATACTCAGCACTTTGTCAGCAGCGAGGCCGCGCGGCAGCGTTCAGAAAGAGTTCCCATGTCCGCCTGGACGGTTGCATTACTTTTGTCTCTTGTTCTGTTGTTTACACTCACAGGATTTTCTGGCTCTTGTCTATTGACCCCGCTTTGCTTATGTAATCGTTTATCTGCAATACAGCTGCATGTTTAGCAATCACCATCGGCTTGCATAACGGAGCGCTACTCTGGCTGATCATGTTGAATACTGATGTGTTTACAGTCCACGCCATCCAGTCGGTGTGTGTTTGATTGTGAGTTTACAACAATTCAGGGTATTTTTGACATTGTTTTGCTGTGCAAGCTCCTGCTCTGACGAACGAAACCTTTACCGTCACACACTTTACTACTTGTCTTCCTTGAATTAGTATCAGTGGTGTTTATGCAAGAGGGCTGACGTGGGGAATAAAGAAAGGAAGGTGTGTGTGTGTGTGTGTGTGTGTGTGTGTGTGTGTGTGTGTGTGTGTGTGTGTGTGTGTGTGTGTTCGTTCAATGTCAATCTCACAGTATGGCTGCCATCCTGTGTTGGGTTTCTGTAACTACTTCGCTAAATAAACTGAAGCTGTTTCAGTGGTCTGTCTGACATAATGCACTTGATTCTTCACACAAAAACACAAGACCAGCAGGATGCCTGTGGTGCAGTTTGGGTTTTTATTTTTTATGCCTTAAAACTGTACACTTTCAAGTGTGGATGTATGTGAAAATGCGTGATTTGTCTGCATTGTTTGTCTTCTAAAACCTCTGCCTTTGTTGACTGAGTGTCAGGGTTCCATCACCCTGCCAACGAAGAGCGGCACGTTGGCCTCGTCGTTCCACAGCATCATGATGAAAGGCCTGAGGGCCGAGAAGGATGGCAAGGAGCGAGAGAACGACAAGGTGGTCACAGCACCGGCCTCGACCCCGTGTTTGGTCAGCGCGAGGAACGCTTTGTGTTTGATATCATCCAGAACCAGATCCCCCCCGGGCTGGAGGCATGACAAGCTGGCACCCTCGAAAAGGGATGACAAACCTGATTGTGGAGAAGCGGGAGGCAGATCAGTTAGAAAGAGATCAAAGAGGAGACACATTTCTCAAATGGTGCTTAATGGCTGTCAGGTAGGTAAAGTGCACAGGCTAAAAGCATAGGTGGTGGGAGTACAGCTGAGAGAGAATAAGCAAACCTAATTTCTTGATGAGCGTGATCATGTTTGGCTCCACATCCAGTTTAATTTGGGGCAGAGTGACCTCAATGTTCTGGGGAGCTGCAGCTCTCAGATGCTCCATCATCTGACGCACGTTTCCATCTGTCATCCTCTTCTCAACCTGCTGCAGGTCGGCCTCTGTGTTGGAGTGAGGCAGCAGGATGTACAGACTGTTGTCTCCCGTGAGAGAAAATTTTGCTACCTGTTGGCAAGAGGACAAATACTCATGCGTTGCTGTAGAACGGCAATTATTTGTTGGATTTTAGAACAGTGTGTGTGTGTGTGTGTGTGTGTGTGTGTGTGTGTGTGTGTGTGTGTGTGTGTGTGTGTGTGTGTGTGTGTGTGTGTGTGTGTGTGTGTGTGTGTGTGTGTGTGTGTGTGTGTGTGTGTGTGTGTGTGTGTGTGGTTTTGGTGACATTTTTTAAAACCTTTCCACAGAAATCCAGCTCTAAAGATCTGTCATTTGAAGATCAGAGTTTAAACTTCCAAACTATTTTAATATTTTTCTTACAAGCGCTTAAGAAAATTATTAAACACATACACATGTAGGCTGCTTTCGCCTTTGTAGAAACATTTTGTTGATTTTATTGAGATTTCATATTAATGACAAATGAAAATCAGCAATGCTCAGATGTGTGAACTGAACAACGCCAGATTGTTTTGACTAAATAAAAGAAAGGTGACATTTGCCATCCATCACCACTGGAATTTTAATGTCCTACTAAAAAATAATCGAGACATCAACTCTTTACTGCCCTGTGAATCAGGATCTGCAATTTTTCCCTCAGATAGAGAAAAGCTGATCAGGACAGAGTGAGAGGAGCTGCTGAATGGTCAATTCACAGAAACACCAAACAACTGTTGGCCTTTGAGATGTTCCAGTAACAGAAGATCCAACCGACCAGAGTCATGACCAAATATGTAACCAGATCATTCAAGAGTAAAAATATCCAGAAGGTAAAAAGAACGGAGAATATACAGATAAGGAAGAAAACTAAAGCCATAGTTCACCCTAGCTGTTATTTGGCCACAGGGTGGCAGTAAAGTTTAAATATGAGGACTGATGTGGTGGACCACATCAAGGCTCCAGCAACAGCCTGAATAACAGGGTGGAGGTCTGTGAGTGTGATCAGAGCTGTACATGTCACTGTGCTGTTTAGGAAGGAGATAATGCGCTGTGGAAGAGGAAGCTGCTTCACTTTATTATGTGTAATCATCAGAATGAAGAGGTAGGAAATCTTGCAGCCAGAAAGTCCAACCTCTGGACATTTTACATGTCCTACAAGAATCATGCTTCAGATAAACATGAGATACACACTTCTGTTGTAGAAAAGACACACATGAGGAAAAATTAGGATTTAAGTCTGAAAATGCCTCAGAGAGAAGTGCTGTTCTTCCTATGCAGATTTAGATGTTAAACAGATATATGGTGACTTTAAAAAAAATTATGATAGATCTATAGTCTATTCATGACATGTTCAATAGGTTCTTTCCACTGAATCCCTTCCAAATTAACCAATTTCAGCAGTTTTATTCTTGACATTTTCAGTACCTCACAGAATGAGCTGTTTCAGGGCTCTGTAACAAAGAAAATAAGCTGTTGCTGGCCACGCCCACCCCTCCCCTCCCCAGCTCAGGCTGCTATAAGCTAAGAGGCTCAGATGTCTAGGAGGGGCTCAGAGTAAAGCCACTGCTCTTTTAGCATCAGTTATGTCTCGCATGTAAGAGTTGGTTATATTCTCATTTTACTGTTTGTGACATCACAAACGGGGACTTTTTGAAGCAGCTTATTTCCTAAAACAATGACAGAAAATTAATGGTCTTTTTTCTCATTTGGTGCATTTACAAAAGCAGTAAAGATGCGGCAGCACAAAAGGATGCAAAAGATGAGTTTTGCATAAAATATCATCTTTAAAATAGTTTCATGATAAATTAATGGGAAATTAGAGGTTTCAGTCCTTCAAAGCACCTAAATTGTTTTAAGGTACCAGATGTTATAGTGCTGAATCTGCCTTGTGCAGCTTAATTTCTAACTTTTTTCTTTAGATATTATTTACAATTTTATAAATGTATGTTTAAACATGCATAAAGCCATTTTCTTGTCTTTTTTAATAACATATAACCTGATTATTCCCTTTATACGCTGAAACATTGTTTTATTGTTTCAGATGAAATCTGGCATAACATATTGTGTTTTATCTTTAATCCGATAATGATTGTATGTGTGTGCGTGTGCGTGCGTGCGTGTGTGCGTGCGTGCGTGCATGCGTGTGTATGCAAACAAATTTCCAGCTGCCTCCTCCTTACCTGGGCTTTCATCTCCACCACGTACATCATAGTCGCCAAGTACTTTGAATGATAGAGGAGGGGCACCTTCACTCTATCTCCGTTCAGTTTGATGAAATCTCTTTTCTTTGGTTTATCATTAAACTGAAACTTCCATTCACCTGGAAACACACACACACACACACACACACACACACACACACACACACACATACAATGATGGTCAGTGTTTTCTTTAAATCCACATGTACGTTCTTGTCTGCGCAGACACTTCACTGACCGCTGAAGGACACGGCGTTCAGCAGCATCAGCTGAGTACTGGGCGACACTTGCTCAAGCAGCTTTGGGATTTTGTTTTTGGTCTTGTTTGCCACCCAGTCGTTTATCAACTTTGTGTTCTCCTCACTGGTCTTCAACAGTTTCACGGGCTCTGCTTCGTAGTACTGAATGGACAAGTTGGTAAAGGCATCACTCAGGTTCATCTCTGAGAAAGAGAAAAGACAAATCTCTGTTTCCAAATGACTGTTCTTCATCTTCTCATGTGCAGGTTATTATTTTAGCGCCTCGCTCTGTGGTGGTAATACGTGAGTTATAGAAGATCTGAGAGGCCATTTGTAAGGAGAAGGACATCCTCTCTCTCTGCTTCCTCATCTGTGAGTGAACACAGTGGAAGTCATGAGGCAAACACATCGCTCTCTCCAGGGCTTTGCGGGTCTCTCCATTGGCACCTTTAGGAACAAAAAGCACATTAAAACCTGTTCTTTGAAGCATGAGGAATGTTTGACATTTATTTTAAGTGCATGGAAACTGTCACAACAAGCATCAAAAACCATGAGTCACACTAAAATGTCAAATGAATTAATGAAACTGGCATGTTTCAATTTTGCACTTAAACATTTTGGCTCCGGAGCTTTGAGCTATTTATGCCTCCATATAATTCCAACTTTATGTGTTCACACTGTCATTTTATAAAAGTAGATGCTGCACTGTCTAATAATTATATTATGTACTAATCGGTGAGATTTTTGCAAATAAAAATTTGCTGATTTTTCTTACATGAACTCTATTAATTTATATTCTGCTGATGATTTACATTTCCAAATTTGAGGTCATGCTTTATTCACAGGAGAAAGCGGGGGTTCCCTATCCTTTAAATAGATTAGAGGTCCTGCCCTCAAACAGAGGGGAGTCTTGTCAGGAGTAAGGGAATGATGAAGTGTGTGAGATTGGCAGGTGGATAGAGGCAACAAGTATTTAAAATGTTATTTCAAAATTTATTTTAGCACAGTTTCATCACAAAAACAGTCACTGAAACTTTAGAGATTTAAAGTTTTGCTTCAAAAACAGTGAGCAGCAGCTACATAAATATGTGTTTTTATTTCTGATTACTTTTTTACTTCTTCTCTTATTCTACTTTTAGCAGATGATGTGCTCCTATTGACTGTATGAAACCATGATCTCCAACTTCGGCTGGAGCGGTTCACAGCCGAGTGTGAAGCAGCTGGGATGAGGGCAGAGATGAGGTCCTGCTTCAAGTGGAGGAGTTTAAGTATCGGGGTCTTGTTCGCAAGATGGAGCGTGAGATGGAGAATGATAGGCGGATTTGTTCTGTGTCTGCAGTAATGCGAACATTGGACCGCTTTGTTGTGGAAGAGAGAGCTGAGCCAGAAGGTGAAGCTCTCAATTTACCAGTTGATCTGCGTTCCCACTGTTGGGTATTTTTATAATTGTACCTTTTTGAGGCCTAAAAGATGGCCAACTGTTGCTGTTCATGAAAGGTTGAGCAAGGATGTTGATTGTAAGAAAACTGTACCTCTGTAACCTGAGAAGGCCCGCCTTCTCCCCCATCCTTGGTGAATAAAGCCCCTGACGAGCTGGGAGCACACGGGAGTGACGTGGGGAAGCCTCGGAGGAGGTTTCTCTGCGTTAACTCTCCATGTTTTGGAGACTCAGGGTAAAATGTCTTCCTTGTTGTCATGTGTGTTATTACAGGTTCCAGGGTTATGGAGATTAAATATTACCAAACATTCTAGTCTCCTGATGGAGACCACGGGTATGCAGAGCTGGTGAGGTGAAGGCTGAGGCTGGAGCAGAGTGGGGGCTGGTTGAGCCACAAACATGGACATGGGGGCTGGTTGAGCCACACACATGGACATTACAAATAATCAATTTACTCTCTCTCTCTCTATCAAAGGGTGTGTCGTCCTTTAAGGTAATATGGGATAAAATCAAATTACCTATCACCCACCCTCACCTGATCACAAGCTTCGGGTAGGGACGGTAAGAACGAGATCACAGGTACAAGCAGACAAAATTAGTTCTCTCCGCAGGGTATCTGGGCTCTCTCTTGGAGATATGGTGAGAAGCTCGGTCATCCAGGAGGGATTTGGAGCAGATCCGCTGCTCCTCGACATCCCGAGGAGCCAGTTGAGGTGGCTGAGGCATCTGGTTAGGGTGCCTACTGGACGCCTCCCTGATGAGGTTTTCCGGGCATCTCCAACCAAGGGGAGACCCAGGACACGCTGGAGGGACTATGTTTATCGGCTGGCCAAGGAACACCTTGGGATTCTCCCGGAAGAGATGGCCCAAGTGGCTGGGGAGAGGGAAGTCTGGGCCTCCCTGCTTGGGCTGCTTCCCCCACAACCAGACTCCAGATAAGCAGACGAAAATGGATGGATGGGATATTTACTTCTGGATTGTATCTTTTTATGGGGTTTTCCATTTGTGGCTTTATTAAAGGAGGTGGAGTAATTTATTTTTAAACATTAAGATGTATTAAAGAGCTCTGATCTCCTCTGGAAGAGCCAGTGGAGTGGCCAGTAATTTTCTAGAAAGGGGCATGGCCACCCCTTGGGGGCACCACTGTGTCTATAATCTAAAGAAAACAATTTAATTGTTTAGGTAATATTAAGTAATTAAATGGCACTTTATTGCCTTGTGTGTAATTTAGGGACAACAGGGCTATAAATTAGTTTAGAAGAGTGAAAGAAAAACTCATCATTAAAGTTGCTTTTGTCTGTCTAACAGAAGATTAGCGGATACAAAACATTTCTCAAACTACTTCTCAATCATTAAGAGTTGCCCTTCCTACCTAACAACAGATGGGAGAGAATCCCATTAATGCTGACGGGAGAGAAGAGCAGGTTGTTTCGGGGGTGCTCGTCTTTGAAGTGTGAATACAACCTCATAGAAAACTCTGTCATGGATTCTCTTAGGATAGGCTCCGCTGTGCGGCTTTCCTCCTCCTTGCAGAGATCCAACACGTCGTTTAAGTCTTTGCATGAAAGCAACGGAGGAGCAGAATCTGAAACAAAGTCAAGGAAATGTTTTAAATGAGGCGCATTTCATGCACATGCAATGATAAATAGTATAACTTTGATGAGTGGTCTTTATTTTAAGAGTTGCTTCGTGTTCCATCATTATAGGCTGAGCATATTCAGGAATCTTCACCAGAAGTACCTTCAACGATAAGATTGATGGTGTGGAGCCTCTCTCCTTCAGCAGATTCACAACTGTAAACTCCAGAGTCGTCCGTGAAAGCTTGTCGGATAATAATGCTCTGATCGTGGTCCATTGGATAGAGCAGGTCCACTTTCTTCTCATCTGTCGGGTCGTCTTCAAGGTTCAGTTGCGTTCTTTTGCTGTCACCAGTGTCTTTGAACCACAGCGCATTGCTGCTGACTACACTGGAGGATGGAATGTGACACGGCAGATGTACGTTGGTGCCAGAAGTCACCGTGATGGTGCTATGAAGTGATACTGCAAGAGCAGGAGAAACATCTTCCATCTTCTTTATGTTCAAGGGATTGTCTGCCAAATGTAAATGTCTAATACGGGAAAACGACATCTTACAGACTGAGAGGTTAAATCCTCTTGTCAACTCGATATCATTGACTTGTGTCAAACACACATACTCGCCCTCACTGGCAGCAGTGACAGGAGAAATGGAGATGTGTAGGCCATTGTCTACTGCTCTGGCAGAGCTGAGAGACTGAGTTAGATTTTGTCCTGAAATTGCAAAATGTGGAAATTTTCATTACATTACTGTAAAAGTCTAAGATGAAGATACCATTAAAATATCGTTCACAAATATACTGAAACGTTTAGTGTATAATTATCACCCACTACCCACCAGGGGTGCCCAATCCTGGTGCTGGCGGGCCGGTAGTTTTAACTCTGTTTCAACACACCTGATTTCATTCAGCAGGTCATTTACATGCTTCTGCAGAACCTGATGAGCAGCTGCACATGTGATTCAACCACTGGATCAAGCATGTTGGAGCAGAGAAACAACTAAAATGGGCTGGGTATCGGCCCTCCAGTACCAGGATTGGGCACCCATGACCTAAACACAAAAGATAACTGATAGGTGGTCTGCCTTTGATATAGGGCCTTCTTAGGTTCTACACCACCCCAAGGCACTTTACAATACAATCAGTCATTTATCCATTCACACACACATTCACACGCTGATGGTGATGAACTGCAATAGCCACAGCTGCCCTGGGGCTCACTGACAGAGGCAAGGCTGCCATACACAGGCACCACCGGTCCTCCGATCACCATTAGCAGGCAAGGTGGGGGGATGATTAGCAAACGCAAAAATGGCTAAAGTGGCTAAAATGGCTAAAACTATGAATTTTGCTGTTAAATTTCACTTGGTAGTTGCAAAAAGCCATTCACATCACATGCTTCAAATGCTAACAGATTGTGCATATACAGTCAGGTCCATAAATATTGGGACATCGACACAATGCTAACATTTTTGGCTCTATACACGACCAAAATGGATATCAAATGAAACCAACAAGATGTGCTTTAACTGCAGACTGTCAGCTTTTATTTGAGGGTATTTACATCCAAATCAGGTGAACGGTGTAGGAATTACAAGTTTGCAAATGTGCCTCCCACTTGTTAAGGGACTAAAAGTAATGGGACAGAATAAGAACCATAAATCAAACTTATACATTTCAATACTTAATTGCAAATCCTTTGCAGTCAATTACAGCCTGAAGTCTGGAACACATAGACATCACCAGACGTTGGGTTTCATCCCTGGTGATGCTCTGCCAGGCCTCTACTGCAACAGCCTTCAGTTCCTGCTTGTTCCTGGGGCATTTTGCCTTCAGTTTTGTCTTCAGCAAGTAGAATTCATGCTCAATCGGACTCAGGTCAGGTGATTGACTTGGCCATTGCCAAACAGTCCACTTCTTTCCCTTCAAAAACTCTTTGGTTGCTTTTGCAGTATGCTTTGGGTCATTGTCCATCTGCACCGTGAAGCACCGTCCAGTGAGTTCTGAGGCATCTGGCTGAATATGAGCAGATAATGTTGCCCGAAACACTTCAGAATTCATCGTGCTGCTTTTGTCAGCAGTCACATCATCAATAAATACAAGAGAACCAGTTCCACTGGCAGCCATACATGCCCACGCCATGACACTTCCAGCACCATGCTTCACTGATGAGGTGGTATGCTTAGGATCATGAGCAGTTCCTTTCCGTCTCCATACTCTTCTCTTCCCATCACTCTGGTACAAGTTGATCTTGGTCTCATCTGTCCGTAGGATGTTGTTCCAGAACTGTGAAGGCTTTTTTAGATGTTGTTTGCCAAACTCTAATCTGGCCTTCCTGTTTTTGGGGCTCACCAATGGTTTACATCTTGTGGTGAACCCTCTGTATTCACACTGGTGGAGTCTTCTCTTGATTGTTGACTTTCACACAGATACACCTACCTCCTGGAGAGTGTTCTTGATCTGGCCAGCTGTTGTGAAGGGTGTTTTCTTCACCAGGGAAAGGATTCTTCGGTCATCCACCACAGTTGTTTTCCGTGGTCTTCCGGGTCTTTTGATGTTGCTGAGATCACCGGTGCGTTCCTTCTTTTTGAGAATGTTCCAAACCGTTGTTTTGGCCATGCCTAATGTTATTGCTATATCTCTGATAGGTTTCTTTTGTTTTTTCAGCCTAATGATGGCTTGCTTCACTGATAGTGACAGCTCTTTGGATCTCATCTTGACAGTTGACAGCAACAGATTCCAAATGCAAGTAGCACACTTGAAATGAACTCTGGATCTTTTATCTGCTCATTGTAATTGGGATAATGAGGGGATAACACACACCTGGCCATGGAACAGCTGAGAAGCCAACTGTCCCATTACTTTTGGTCCCTTAACAAGTGGGAGGCACATATGCAAACGGTTGTAATTCCTACACCGTTCACCTGATTTGGATGTAAATACCCTCAAATAAAAGCTGACAGTCTGCAGTTAAAGCACATCTTGTTTGTTTCATTTGATATCCATTGTGGTGGTGTATAGAGCCAAAAATGTTAGCATTGTGTCGATGTCCCAATATTTATGGACCTGACTGTAAGTTTTCTAGATCAGGCTAAAACACCTCCATTGTTTCTAAACGCCAGATGATTTTAGTTTAAAACTCAAAAAGTGGTGCATAATCACTCAAGAAATTTTAAGCCTTGATATACATTGGCACTACGGTGCAACAAATGTAAAGAGAAAACACAATATTGCCATTAAATTTCCAGATGATGTTTTCTCCAGAGAAGTAACTTTCTGATGAAAAACAGGGCAGCTTCACTGTAGAACCATAAGGAAGCTGAATATTTGTGCACGAGCAAAGCTGAAATGAAAGCAGAAAATATCAAACATCAGATGGAAAGTTTACTCATTTATTCATCCAACTGGCTCTGATTTAAATCATCTCAATACGGCTAATAAATGAACTGTTTCAACATTTGGCAGGTGTACCTCAAAAGTGAGCTGCAAAAAGAGGCAAACTAAGGCGTGCCGTCTCATCTGCAAAGGAAATAATACGTATAGAAGGATAATTTCTGAACGAATGTGGCACAAAGCTGGCATGAGATCAATATGTGGCGCAACCAGAAAAGCCCTCAGATATTTCCCAGTAAGATCCTCTGAAATATGATCATTTCCCACACACTTGTTTTTAATATATACTTATATTTCTAATAGAACGTTAAGAAAAAATACTTATATTTCCAACAACAGTCATAATAATGTATCAGTCACATTACTTTGTTTCAGCTATAAGAAAGAGAATAATATAAAAAAGAACTCACTGCTCTTATATTTTGGGGTCTAGAATCAGTCGATTTTTATCAATATTTCTCCTCTGGCACCAGATCCCTTCAGGTTTCTTCTACCTCCTGCAACTATCTGCTTCTCTAAACTGAAAACGACTGATTTGTCATTGTTTATTTAGAGATGTGTGTTTGCATAATGGAGGTCCTCTGACTTGCTGGAAATCACATGATTTCACTCGCTGGCAACAAATACTAAGCACATTGATTCTCATCCCAGGGTTTTATTTGTATTTTATTTCATCTTGGGGAGAGGTTTTATTTGTATTTTATTTCATCTTGGGGAGAGAAACAGAAATGCCTAATTAGTTCGACCATTGCTGCTCTAGTGTGAAGTTAATGAACACTCATGCCCACTCAGTCACAACAAGTTGAAAATCGCTGTGGTTAGTTGGGGTTAGATGAGCATTTTAACTTGGACTCGTTTCAATTTGTTTTTGTAAAATGTGTTTGCTTCAAGTGTTTTACATAATTAGAATTCGCCAAAGGCTTTCTGGAATCCAGGGATGAGGACATAGTGACAGGGAGATAGGTGTTATGTCTGAGTTAATGGGCGTATGATGTTGTTAACACACCTGTGAATTGCCTTTGATGTTGCAAGATACATAAATTTGTTTTTTTTTTCTTTAATCCTATATGTTGTTGTTGTTTTATGTAAGTCCGTTTATGTGTAAACAAGAAGTTTATTGCTGGATGTCAAGATTACCAGATGGGTGCTGCACTGTGGCACTGTTGCCTCAAAACGAAAGAGGGAGCTGGTTAAAGACCCAGCTGGAAATTTTCTGTGCAGATCTTCTCCCTTTGTGAGCACATTGTTTCATTCCTCTGTTTTTGCAGTCCAGAGATGTGAAGGTTTGGTTAACCGGTTATTTTAAATTGACCTTATATGCATGTATGGTTGTTCATCTGAGTGTTGACACTGTGATGGACTAATGACCTGTTCAGAGTGTACCCTGTTTCTCTGTCTTAGGCAGAGAAAGGCCAACAAACTGGAGAGATGGAAGAATCCCAGCTGGCTGGTTTCTGTTTTATTCTTATTTAATTTTATTTATGAGAAATTAAAATAATTTTGAAAGTCTGAGACCATTTGTCCATAGCTTCTGCTTTCAGCATATACATTTAATGAGTATATGAATAAGTCTTGGATGCCACTGGTTGGCTGATTATAGATTATAGCCCATATTAAAATGTCTGCTGCTGTTGAAATTGTAGTAAAACAGATTCATAAATGTGATTTAATTAAATTAAATACATGTGTGACATTTGTTATCATATTGAATGTATAGCTTCTTAAATTAGGTGAGATTAATTTTCTTTTTGTTTAAATTTATATTTTTATGGTGAGGGGCGGTCTGTATTTGATTTTAGAAAAGTTAGGGATTCGATCGATGAAACGACACTTGATTAAGCACTCTGACACACGACCTTTGCATTTGTTGGGCGGATTCAGTCGAATGTAATCGAGAGCCGTGCTTTTAAACTTCTAAAGGGGTCTTTTTTTCGGTGGACCACTCGCAAACTAAATCAAGATTTTGCTTTTTAATATAAAAAAGTACTTTATTAAGTTTTCTCAGACTCTGTCGACATGTAACGAGTGGTTATTAGACAACTTCGGATCAAACTTTGTCTCGCCGGAGAAAAGATTTTACTGAAGACAGTAAGTTTTCCTCTTGTTCATCTGATTTAGCTAGCGGAAAGAGGAAAAACATTGGCAAAGACCGAAACCAGAGCCAGTTAACGGCTCGGTGTTTATGTAGAAAGGGTTGGTTTTACTGCTCTGAAGAAACTAACTGATTCTATTTTTCTGTTATTTGCGTTGACTGTTATCAAGAAGAAAGCGGTTGGTTTATGAAACGCAGCTCGCGACCAACTTATAAACGTTATAAGCGTTTGTGCGCGCGCTTTAAACATTAAAGAGAATTTATCACGCGAGGAAAAAGGCAAAATAGTTATGTAACAGTTCCAATAATTAGGCTCTATTTGTACCAAGAAGATGGACAACATAAAAGAACAAGTAAAAGATGAATAAAAATACACCAAAGCAGCGACTTTATGATGCTGTTTGTGTTCTTTTCACACAAAGTGCTACTTAAATAAAGTTTCTTCTTCTAAGTGAACATTTGCTCTGAAGACCCTGAAGTGTAGGAGGCGACTGCAGTAGTGATGGCTGCACAGTTTACTATTGATGATGCCTTTGTCTTGGACGACGGAGATGAAGAAGGAGCTGTGCCTGAAGGAGAGCCAGAGTGGTGGAAAGGTAGAGACAAAGACCGGGATGGAGAGATGACGTTTGGTCCTCTGGCATTCTCCAAACCTCAGTCTTACCCCCCACCTGCCGCCTCGGGCTCACCTGAACACAGCAACCTGAAGTATCAGGTATAGGTACACCTCTGATGACACGTCAGAGTATAATAAGTTGTAACTACTTATCTAACGATGTCTGCTGGTTCTCTAGAATCTAGAAAATGAAGATGCTCTGGGCAGCAATAGCAATTCTTCATTCAATAACTTATTTAAAATCAGGTAGGTTGGTTATGTTGGAGTGAATTTATGTCTTCGATGCATTTTTCTTGTCTTGTGTAATAATATTGGTTTTTACTTATTTTTCACAGTGACCCCTCAACGCTGTCTTACTGCAGCTCCCAGTGGTCCTTTAGCACTCTGAGTTCAGTCACGCAGCTCTCTGCACGCTGCTGCGGGTAAGCTTTATCAATTATCTCACACACGGAGCAACAAACAGATACGTTAAAGACGTGTTTCTCAGGTGGGTGTCCCATCCCCTGGTGAAGAAAAACAGAAGAGTTGTTCTCGCCTCATTCCTCCTCCTCATCACTGGAGTAGGTGAGTCAGAAACACATGCAGTGCTTTACTGTTTTTTTTAACTCACGATAAAAAGTAAAAAGTGCAATTAAATATTATGTATTTGTGCTTTTTCTCAATTATTGGAGCATCATGATATCTGCTCAGGAAGTATTTATCTAATTAATGAAGCCAAAAATGTTCCAGAGATTCATGTAAGCATGATTTTCATGTTTTACCTAAAAAAAAAGAAAGATTGCACTGTTTCAGGAGTACGTCTAAATTTTTGCAGCTAAAATTTTATATTTCATCAGTACAGAACTGTGAGCATATAGTGTGTAAATGTGTAGAGTTTTCCTGCTTAATTCTGTCACGTTGCGGTGTTGGAGGACCCAAAATGCAGAAAACCCAGGATGACACGAGGCAGAGATGAAGAATAAGAAAACTCCTTTATTTTAAGGAGAACAAAGATAAGTCCAAAGACTGGAAGCCAAAATCCAGAGTCCAGATAATGATCTGGAGATCCAAAAATACTTGAGACACGAGAAGACCAAGAACTTGAGTAATCCAAGATGAGACTGACAGAATTACAAACAAACAACAATGGACCGACAAGAACAATGAGACAAGGAGAGCTTATATAGACTGGGAGGAGCAATTAGGGAAACAGGAAGCAGGTGTGTGGAGTGAGGCTGGAGGGAAGGCAGGTGACAACAATTATCTGGATGGGGAAGAGAACCAGAGGAGGGCAGATAAACCTAGCACTATATAAAACACATAACTAAACCTAAAGACTAAGGCCTAGTCCACACGTAGCCATGTTTTTTTTTTTAAAACAAATATCCGCCCCTCCAGAAACTTGCTTCCACACCACCTCGTTTTAAAAAGAAACTGTCCACACGTACCTGGATAAATATGTTGTTAAGGACATGCCAGACCTGTAGGCAGCAGTACTTCCCCCGTTCTTAACCTCGTCCTTCGTCTGTGGTCTTCCGCAAGGAGCAGTAATTCCGCTTGCAAAAACAAACAAGTAAAAAGCGCTTGGACAATTGATAAAGCGAGCGCAGCTCTGAGGGCATCTATGCTGTCGGCTAGTGTAAACACAGGTCGCACACGTGATGTCAGCATTTTTTTGTCGCGGAAAGTGACGTTGCGGACCTTAAAACTCCGGTTTTGTCTGTCCACACGCAGACACCCAAAACGGAGAAAACACAGATCTTCACTTTGGCTGGAGTTTTTAAAAAGATCTGTTTTCGTGTGAAAAAACTCCGTTTTCGTGTGGATGACAGGCCAAAACGTAGAAAAATATCTACGTTTTGGCAGATCCCCGGCTATGTGTGGACAGGGCCTAAGGGAAGGACTCACACAAACACATACACACATACAATGAACTGGGGAACAAGAGGCTGGAGCTACAACTTAAGACACACAACAGAGATGTAGACAAAGGACACATGAGGGCGCTAAGAAAACACAAAAGGAGAACCTGGAGTGGGAACTGGAGGAGCTGGGGAACAAAGGGACACAGAACATGACAAATTCTTTGTAGCCATTAATAGCTAATTGGCTAATCATATTAGCCTGGCCTTCCAGACTCCTCCTCTGTTTAATTCTGCACAGAGAAAGAGTCTAGTGATGTGACGTTCACAAACGAATCGAATATTTTGAACGGGTTTTCAAAGTGAATGATGAGAGCCGAGTCCCTGCAGAGAGCCGTTCATCTTAACAAACCTCCCCGGAAGTCGGTCAAACTCACCCGCAAAAACCCCACCCACTGCTGTGACGGACATAGGAGGAACCATAGATATGTATATAAACACATGTTTGTATACATGTCTATGAGAGGAATGCTAACCAACCCCGTGCGCCCTCACGGACACCATGGTAACACCCCCCCCCCCCCACCTCCCCCCGCTCCCTTGGCTTCACTTCGTTCAAAGAAGCTAGTCTTATGAACGACCCTTTGAGGTAAACAACCAACTAATGAACGGCTTCCATGAAAGAGCCGTAAATCTCATCACTAAAAGAGTCTGGTAATTCACAGGCAGAGAGGCACTTGAGGGGTGGGACTAGGCAGCTCAAAAATGACCAATCAGAAAAGAGACAGAAATCCAGACTGTACCGCATGACGCTGTAGTTTTCTAGGTGTAGTAAAAAATAGCATCTGGCAACGGCGCAAACATCTTTTTTTTTTTAGAAGAAGAAATGTTTTTAGCGCTTCTACTTGTGGTTTTAAAGACATTCTAGTCATTTAGAGCAGAAGAAAGAGCCGCAGCGAACTCCGCTGCTGTTTTTGCTGTTTATGAGAAACTGAGTGGCGCTGTGTGTGACGTCCGCAACGCTGTACTTCTTTAGCTGTAGTAAAAATGGAGTCTGGCGACAGCGCAAACATCTTTCTTTAGAGGAAAGGCTTTTAGTGCTTCTACTTGTTGTGTCCAAGTTTTTTAAACCGGAGGAAAGAGCCGCAGCGAACTCCGCTTCAGTCGCAATGTTCGACAAACTCGGCGTTGTGGTGTGTGACGTACGCTACTCAGCGCTGATTGGCTCGGTTAGAATTCTCAGGGGGTGGGGTTATTTGAATAGGAGAGTTACCAGACTCTTTCTCTTTGCAGAATTGAACAGAGGAGGAGTCTGGCAGGCCAGGCTACAATCGTATGGTAGCAACTCAGTGGTTTTAGGCATCTAGATGGAGTGAAGACAACTTGCTGATACTTAAAACAAGCAAAATAATGGGGAATAAGTTTGATTTAAGTGATGTGGCGTGTTTGTTGGTGCCAGACGAGTGTTGATGATCTATGGGATTTTTACCAACAACCATGTATGGAGTTTTCACAGAAGGGTCTTAAAACAACAATGTCTGAATGATAGCAGCGATGTTTACTATAAAATATCAATAATCTAAACTAGGGATGGACAATGTACTGGCATCAATATCGGTACCGGCCGATGTTAGTCATTTTTTTACATATCGTATCGGTTCGATAAATAAAACCGGGCTGAAATTAACTACCGATATTTTTTCCATCTTGTCTCCATTTGTTTGCCTGTTTCAGAGGGTGAGGGGGGTGATGTGTGATTGTTTAGTCATGTGAGCAGTGAAGGAAATCATCTCAGAACTGTAAATGTGTGTGTTGTGTGTACATAATAACGTAAGTTCATCTTTAATCATTTTCATTCCATACAAAATCTGATTTTAGAAGCATTAATGTCAGTATATCGATATCGGCAAATATTGGTTATCGGCCATAACAGTGATCTTAATATCGGTATCGGCCCAAAATTTTCATATCGGTGCATCACTAATCTAAACTTTAAACAATAATCCAAGTCATGCAGTTAAAACTAACTAAAGACTAGGTTGTTTGGAAAGGCCCAAGTAGATAATCTGAATACATTACATTTTCACTTGCTTTTGCTAATAGCAAATGTGTAATATAAACCTGGTAGATGATTATGAATATAAAAAATAATTTTGCAAAGAGAGAGACAGACTTGAACAAATTGACTGTTTTAGTAAACAGCTTATAATTAACTTGCTGAGCAACGGGTCACTGACGTCCTCTCTGTCCACACACTGAACTTTGTCCTCACCCCGATCAAATAAATAATCAACTTTCACCAGAACTTTAATGGTTATATATATATTTATTACTTTTTGTGTTATTCTCTCCCATTTCCCACCAGTAACTCTGCTTTATTTTTTTTTCAGCGCTCATTTTTACAGGGATTGTCATCCAGCTGAACCCAAATGCAGGTAAAGTAGAGACCTTTTTAGTCTCTCATATAAGTTTGTTAAAGACACAGTAAAAACAGATCAGCACTTAATATGTCATTTTAGGGGTGGGAATAAAAGTTGTTTGCATCATTCATTATGCATTAAGGTTGGACGATATAGAAAAAGATTTTAAAAAATCGTATCGATCGAAATCGATAATTCAATCAATCAATCAATCAAAGCTTTATTTATAAAGCGCCTTCCGCAACCCTGTCAGGAAGCCCAAAGCGCTGAACATGGTTCAGTTGAAGGTAAATATATTGAATAAATCAAAAATAAAAGCAATTCAAATTACAAAATACAAGTTACAAAATAGGTGAAACATTCTGGTACAGGACAAATGTGTAAAACAATGGATTGAGTGAACCATTGAAAACTGTGAAATAAATTCAACATAAAAGAGGGCCAAAATCAAACATGTTCTGGAAACGCCAATTACAACTAATTATTGAACATTCTATGAAAAATGTAGAAAGTACATTTTAAGCTCAGCGCTGGCCATTTAATGTCATAACTTTATGATAAAACAAGCTGGTTGCCTTACCAGACTTGGTTTTTAACGATTATTTGCATATTTTGCAAACCATTGTTTGTTTTTTGTCAGACTTGGATGAATGAAAATATTGCCACACTGGTGAAGTACTGTTTCTTCCACCTCTCCTTGCTCAGTCACAATGCTGTCTGTTTAGGTTTGATAGAGGAAGGCTTGGTGACGGAGCGTGCTTGGGTCTGTGTTTTTGATTGGTTGGGTGTAAGTAATGACTAGCATGAAGCTACTGGATAGGCAATGATGGAGAAAGAAAACTTTTTATAGAAGTTTTTATTGATCCATATTTTTTTTTATTGAACCACATGTTTATCCACTATAATCGTTATTGAATTATTGTCCAGCCCTATTATGCATTGTGAATTTATTCATATTTGTTGAACAGTTCCCATCCCCTCCAGTTCAATCTCACAATCGGTGCGTTTACATGCAGCGTCAGTAAACCAAACTATGACCTTATCAAATCAAATCAAATATACTTTATTAATCCCAGAGGGAAATTAGAGTTTCAGTACACACAATTCAGAGATCAGACATACATGGGCAAGACACATGACAAGAATTGGTGACTGTGGTCATTCGCAACCCTGAGTCGCGCTACCTTAATAGAGATTAGAGGGTTACATGAGGATTGGTTCAGGTGGAGGGAAAAAAAGGCACTTCAGAGTTACCCTCCCCCTGGAGGGCAGCTTTGCTCTGCAAAAAAACACCTCAAACAGATATGCAACAGATGTCAGACAACACAACATGAGGGTTGCAGTGTCGACCGAAGTCGGTTTTCTAAAATGGATGTAAACGTGTTGGTCTGGATAAAGGTGAACTGAGGCTCATTGTGCTGAAGTACCCAGATAATATGTTTGACTATTCTCAGCCGAGCTGGTACCAACTGGAGACTCACCATCTGGAAACGACGAGACCGCAGTTGTTGACATCACACGTGCAGATCACTAACAGGCTTAATGCTGATCGTAAACCAGCTTTTAGTAAATGGCCTGTGTTTGTATAGCGCCTTCTTAGGGTTCTACAACCCCCCCCCCCCCCCCCCAGGCACTTCACAACACGATTGGTCATTCACTCTTTCACACGCTGGTGATGATTGTAGCCACAGCTGCCCTGGGGCGCCCTGACACAGGCGAGGTCTGCTGAACACTGGAGCCACCATTCCCTCCGACCACCACCAGAAAGCAAGGCAGGTTAAGCGTCTTGCCCAAGGACACAACAGCAGCATTCTCTGGTTGGAGCAAGGATCGAACCAGCAACCTTCCAGTTACTGGTCAACAAGCTCTACCTCCTGAGCTACTGCTGTCCCTGAATTAGATAATAGGATTATGTTTTCTAGAAAAAGTGATGAATTTATTTCTTTCACACACACACATGTTCAGTTTAGAGGAGTCATCTTCTCCGTGTGTTTATAGCTGACAGTTTATAGTTGACCTTTGAACCTCTGTGCTCTCCATGTGTATGTGCTGCTTTTGTGTCTGAAAGTTGAGTAATCATTAAATGATCTTATCTTCCTGTGATCCTTTTAGACGTTTGTTATTAGACACCTTAGAACGGGGATTCTCGAGTGCTTTCATTTATAACTGAACAAAAAAAACTAATATATTTTATCCTCCTGGACTTGAACTAATTTAAGTTTTAAACTACGGACCTGCTCTGTGGAATATTTTATAATTATAACTCTGACAGAATGCTTGGTGCTAAATGGTGAGTAAATTAGTGTTTTACCAATAAACTTCAATTAAAGTGAATCAAGAGTGAAATGTCTTGGGCGATTCGTGGGCGCAAACTCAAAAGATTTACTGAACAGTGATATTTATAGAGACAAAAAGAAAGTGATTTTTCATAACCTTGCAGAAAAGACAAGGAACAGAATTTGGTTGGCTTCATTCGAGCTTAATGCCTGGACTGAAGAAACACACGAAGCCCGTTTTTGAGCACACAAAGAAACAATTCATGAATTTGCCGTGAGTTTGTGTGAGGACGCATTGACTAATTGAATAACATTTAGGCACAGAAGATCACTTTAACACGTATTTTATTTCCCGTGTTGTGGCAGAAGAGGCTCCTGTAAATGTGTGTATTTGTGTTGGCTATGCAGTCACCAATTAAAACTGTCTCCACAGATGTTTCAAGTGCCATTTTCTTTATCCCTGGATTTCTTCTTTTCATCCCTGGAGGTAAATTTGTCTATTTTTTTAATCAAAATTCCCTCTTCACTCTAATTATGTTTAGTTTTTTTTAAACAACAGCTGAGTTACCTGTATTTTTTCCAGTGTATCATGTGATCTACATCACCTGTGCGGTTCGTGGCAGAAGAGGATTCAAGTTGTTCTACTTACCCTATTTTGAGAAATGAACTCTAATGAGACACTCCTTTTGTTGTTTATTGAAAATGAAATGTATTTTTAGTATATGTCACCTGTAACAAGACACTTTTACATTTTTATCATTATAATGACCACTGCTACTTGAACCACTCAGTGTTTTGGCTGTTTTTCCACTAAATGAACTAACAAGGCTGATTGTACACACTAAAGGACGATTGGTCTTACTTGTGGTTTTTGTGTTGTGTGAATGATGTTTGTGAAATCACAATAAAATGTTTGTATATTTAAATCTAAATATATTTTTACTGCCCATTTAAAAAGGTCTTTCACTTATATTTTTATTACATTTGCAGTTTTTATATTTTATATAGCGTCTCTAAATCACAAGGCACTTTTTAGACCTAAAAATTAATTAGAAATTTTCCATTTTCCCCATTTTATCACAATATATATATATATATATATATATATATATATATATATATATATATATATATATATATATATATATATATATATATAATTTTTGTTTTGATTGTTTTTTTTTTTTTTATTTAACCTTTATTTACCATATGCCGACCTGAAAACCGGTTAGTGTCCACACGTAAACATGATGATGGCGCGCCGGAAGCCTGCCTAAACGGCGACGGACCGCCTCATTCTTGGTTTCAGTCGGTAAACATCGGTATTTTCCGTAAACCATTAAGGATGGAGGAAGAGGCACGCAAGCTTTTCGAAGAGGGAATAGTAAAGAAACTGAGAAGTCCTGGAAAAGGAGAGCTGTCGACCTTTCCGAATGGAACCAAGGTAAAGTGACTCTCGGAGGAACTACGGATTTCGTCCTGCGTTCATAAAATGATTCTCCAACGCGACGAGGCGCATTAGCTGCATGCTATCAGATGTTATCTCCACTGAAAACATTGTACGTGCTTCGTTGGGAGAACATTATCACAAATCTTATTGAGTTAATATTCAGTATGTTGAGTTTTGTGGCTTTTGGACGTATAAAATAATTTAGAGTATTTTCAGCTTGCTTAGTTTTATTATTTTTCTCGACGGAGAGCTAGTAGGCGGGACGTCAATGTTGCTAAGTGCTGATTGGTCCTTTGCCTACGTCAATCTGGATTCCCTCGTTGTGATTAGTCAGGAGGGGATTTCGTAGCAGCTCTTTCAAGGCCTGTCAGAAGTGCAGATTTGGGATTTCTTTTCGGTGAAAACAAATTCCCAGTCGCACTGCTCTTTCTAACAAATCGATTCTTGTGTTTTTGCTGTTATTTGTTTATATTTTAGGTCGTCTTTCACTACCGCACAAGCCTGTGTGATGGCACGGTTCTGGATGACTCCAGAACCATGGGTGGACACAGCAAACCTATGGAGCTCATCCTGGGCAAGAAATTCAAACTGGCTGTATGGGAAAGAGTACTCATCACTATGAAAGAAGGGGAGATTGCAGAATTTACCTGCGATACCAGGGTTAGAGTGCTGCTGGGTTAGGGTGTTGATCCTCCCTATCCAGTGCTGATTGTTTACATCCGTCTCCTCCCTGTTCCCAGCACACTTCACTGTACCCGCTGGTGTCCCAGTCACTGAGGAACATAAGTGTTGGTAAGGACCCTCTGGAGGGCCAGAGGCATTGCTGCGGCATTGCTCAGATCCACTCCCACCACTCATTAGGACATAAAGATCTGGATCACCTTCAGGCCAGCCCACAGCCTCTTGTCTTCACTATTGAGCTACTAGAGGTGAGCCAGGAGACGATATCAGAGTATTGATAGCAAATCATAAGATTTTTGTGAAGAGGATTTGTAAATATGACATTTCTACTAGAATTTAACAAATGGAAAAAGCACTGTGAACAGCTTTTATTGAGTATGTTGCCTCAGATCTCCTGTGTCTTTGTGTGTTCAGGTTCTTCCTCCTGGTTCCTTCCAGCTGGATATGTGGGCCATGAGTGACAAAGAGAAGCTTGACCTCGTGCCTCACATTCATGAAGAAGGAAATGTGCTCTTCAAACAAGGCAAAATCAAGGAGGCATCAGAGAAGTACTACAATGCCATTGCCTGCCTCAAAAATCTACAGATGAAGGTTCGGGGTCATATGATCTACTTTATGCAAGGCTCGACTATAATTCTTCTATTTCTGACTCTTTTTTTGTGTTTTTCTTTCAGGAGCATCCTGGAGCTGAAACCTGGGTGAAATTAGACCTTATGATCACGCCACTGCTTCTCAACTACTGTCAGTGCCAGTTGCTGCAGGGCCAGTACTACGAGGTCATCGAACACTGCTCCTCCTTGGTCTTCAAATACGAGGGTACGGATTTAGCCGCCACTGCATATTATTTGTTACGTTTTCAGAAGTTGAGCCTTTAGCTGGAAATAGTGAAATGAAACTGGTAGAAAGCTAACTAAGGCAAAAAGGTCCAGTGAAGCATTCGAACATTTTTAATACCGACTATCCGCTCCAGCAGCAGCTGAGGGAAAAGAACTAGTAGGCAGCAGTAGCTCAGGAGGTGGAGTGGGTTGTCCAGTATTCAAAGGGTTGCCAGATTGATTACAGCTCTCTGCAGGGGAATTCTGCTGGTGTGTCCTTGGGCAAGAGACTTCACCACCTTGCCTGCTGGTGGTGGAAATCCGAGGGTGTCTTGTGTAAGGCAGCCTTACCTCTTGTCAGTGAGCCTCAGTGCAGCTGTGGCTACAGTGAAGCTCATCACCACCAGTGCGTGAATGGATGACTGAGTCATTGTAGTGTAAAGTGCTTTGGAGTCCTCTAACTTAAAAGGGTGCTATTCAAATGCGGGTCATTTATCGTTTACTTTTGATTTGCACATCCAGTTTTCTCGTTTTGTTGATGTAAAGCAGAAATCTGGAGTTTTTTTTGTCAAAGGACACCATCTAGAGGAGGAAAAATGTATCCATAAATACGTCTTTCCTTTCTGAGTGCGCACCTCTAGCCAGCCTACAGAAGGCATTGTTGTACAATATTTATTTGCTTGTCGATAAGAAATGCCACCAAATCTGCATCAGTTTAGGTTACGTCCACAAACGCTATTGGCTAATGCTGAGTGACGCTCAGTTCAAATAGCATGGGGACAGTGGGGGCTTAGCAACAAAATAAAGGACACGTTGCCTACATACAGTCCAGGGTAAGACTGTCACTTTTACGCATTCTTAAAAAAATCGTACATAATTCCTGAGAAGGGTGAAATCCAGATGAATAATTTAAGTTTTTTTTTCCAGACAAAAGAGTTTAGATTTCAATATAATTTACACTTTTTTACTAATTTTTTTTAATATGAAATTTGAACAAGTTTTTAGTGAAGGCCAGTTCTTTGCCTTGAAATTGTGTAATTTCCAGCTAAATGTCTCCAAGTAAATAACATAAACTGTTGAAGTTCAAGAAAATTGCAAGAGATGTTTTGACTCATTTTTAAGTAACAAACATATGAAGCTTTTATTCCAAGGTTTAAACTGAGAATCAAACTTTTTAGTTCAGCAGTTTTAGCCTCTAGAAGTAAAAGTAAGCTGCTGACATAATTACATCAGCACTCATCACAGAATAACAAAGCTACAAATATAAATGGTTTGTTTTTTATCTATTTGGGTCTGTTTTGTGTTCTCGGTGAAGCGGTTCAGTAGTCTGACTGCTTTTGGATCACTTTCTCTGCGTCCACCAGATAACGTGAAGGCCTACTATAAACGAGCCAAAGCGCATGCGGCCGTGTGGAATGAGAACGAGGCTCGAGCCGACTTCGCCAAGGTGCTGGAGCTGGATCCGTCTCTGGAAGCCTCCGTGAACAAGGAGCTGAAGACCATGGAGGAGAGGATCCGCTCCAAGCAGCAGGAGGAGAAAGGGCGTTACAAGGGCCTGTTTGACTTCAACACACGGCCAGCTACTGCCACCACAGTGAGTCCAGCCTGAGCTTCAGCCATTTATTGTCTTTTAAAAAAAAGCTCATGTGTCTTCCTCCTCGCAGGGCTGAACCTTGTAGCAGATCAGGCTGCCAGCGAATTTCAAGACTGAGGAGAAATATGAGACTTGAGATGTTCTTGGTGTTTTGATTTTATCTGCACTTAAGCCAAACATGCTGCCAACCCGCTCCCCATCAGGCACACACACCAACACCACGAGCATTTGTCCTCTGAATCCACGCTCTGTGAATGTGAAGCTCTGATTGGATCAAAACGTCTGTAATGGCCCGCGTTGGTTCAGCGCAGCGTATTTTCCACTTTAAGGGAACACGTCATCTTGTATTTATTACAAAGCCTTTAAAGGTTTTGCAAATGTCAAGTTTTGGTTAAAATTCTGCTCCCTGTAGTGAGCGTCCAGAGTTTAGAGATCTGCAAGAATTCTCAAAAGACAACTTGTTTTTCCTCTCATCAGTTTATCAACAGCTTTTATTATAAATACTAAAACCATAGCACTTGTAACCAGGAGGTTATGCATAGCCTTTTTCCTTTTTTATATATCTGCAAAGCTATTATGTAATACTGGAGTAATCCCTTTTGTCACATCTTCATGTCCACCCTGTTATTTCACCAGTGAGTTCAAAGGTTAGACACGGAGCCCGACTGGTCTAACGATCACTAAATGAAACAACGATTTGTTTGCTTCTCTGTTCTCCCCCGTGTGTTTATGTCCAGGGTTGGGCATCATTTGAATTTGAACGATTCCTACTCTTTGTTTGGATCCAGATTTTTTCGGGGGTCAAACTTTTAACCGAGCCACCTAACCACAGGTCTGACTTGATGAAATGGTCTGAGCTTCTCCATGAATTTTAATTTGATGAACTTTCTGAAGTGAAGCCACACTTGGAACACAATGATGCAAACGCTTCTGGCAGATCCTTGGATTCTTCTTCGACGGTATTGGGAAACTAGGAACCGATTTATGATTTGAAAGATTCAAAAGGGGTTTTAATGACGCCAATTAGACTACTTTGGTTTCTTGAAGACGCTTGCTTCTCATCCGAGGAGGTTTGTCAATTCTGACTGGAATATTGGAGGGTCAAGCTTATGAGCTGTAGCCGTTTACCTTTGCTTAACAAGCCGAAACTACTTATGAATACCCCCTTCTCCTGATGAGTTGTCAGGGTCGTTAGCCTCTATTGTGAGGGAGTCCTGTTGATTAGATGCATGAGGGTGTGACTAATCAATACAACTCCCATATCACGGTTAGAATTTCCAAAGCTCCTCAGATGAAAAGCAAACATCTTCAAGAAACTGAAAGAGTCCATTTGCCTTCATTCAAACCCTTTTGAATTATCGCGACTTGGATGACTGAGAACATTCACCAGCATTTTGAAAGTTTCTGGGAAAAACTGATAAATCAGTCCTGGTAACAAAATGATGCTTGATGCCCAACCGTACTTATGTCATGTATTTAATGAAAATGCACCCATTGTTTTGTTTGTGAAGGATGTACTCTGCACATTTCCCCTCTTAAGAACTTTTTATTCATCTTTGGAAAACTCCATCTGCAGCTTTTCTGGAGTGTTTGTGTTTATACATATAAAAGTATACTTGTTTATCCCCACACTTGTCTTTTAAAGTGAAATTTCTCAAAAGTGATCATTGAAATATAAATGCAGAAACAGATCATAGGTTACTTATTAGAATGTTTTGCAGCTTTTATTTATTTTTGACTGTATTATAACTCATACTAGTTGCTATGGAAGGTTTTTGGTTATCTTAACAGTTTAAGGATTTTCAATCACAAATTTTTACCAAAAGATGAATTTGTATAAGCTCCCCCAAAAACAGAAAACATAGAAAAGTTATTTTCTTCTTATTTAATTAAGATATACATACTGAACTGCAAAAATTGGTTTTACAAAATGTCTTTAACAAACTGACTTGAGATGCAAATAGGTTTTTCGGGAATGAGAGAAATTAATGTGAGCTTACACAAAAAAATAAAAACAAAGGGACAGGAGTCATAAAGCTGACGTTCTTAGTCACCCGTCATCATTACACAAACACTCACTGCTGCTCATTTTACGTGAGTTCTACACAGAACAAGTACAAAATTTTGTTTCGCAAAATCTAAATGTTGCAAAAATTATAATGAACTTGGTGAAATGCAGTAACGTGGCGCTCCTAGAAAAGCACGAGGTGGAAGGATGAAGGCTGGCTGAAAAAGTATCCAATAAGAAGGATGATGAGGAGCTGCTAAAAGAGGAGAGTGTCCGGTGAAGGGATGTTTATTCAGGAAGGGTTATGTTCGAGCGCTTCTCTCTGTTTCTGCAAGACACTCCCTGACCAGAGCACGGGCGTGGATTATACCTGCAAAAACCAAACACACACATCCTTTTAAGTCAACAGGATCAGACTATTACCTGCAGTGGCTAATGCTCTGTTTTTATGGCTGCAGTTAAAGGAAAACACAAATCCACCACTCAGCACCAACCCAAGATAAATACCTCTCTTTAGCCTCTCCATTGCACTCTTGCTGCCAGCATACGTAGGCCTGATCTCACGACTCATCTCCTCGATGACAGACAGAAGTTCACTGTAGGTGGACCCCTGGGACACTTTGACCGGCTGTTGGAGTATTTTTTACCAACGTGTCATTTTTAAGAGAATAAAGACGAGAAGTGCATCAGGAAGTGTCACAAATGGATACAATTCAGACCTGCATCTTAATTTATTCATTAAAGTGTGGATTAGTCATTTTCTTTCCCAAATATCTAACGATGAGACACAGAAAGTAACAATCTGAGTTCATGTACTGGTATATTATCTGGAGTTTGGTAACTTTTCATGCACATTCTTGACAGTTTGGCATAGTGGGAGTTAGGGGTGGGCAATATAAATGATTTGAGGTACAAACAATATAAAACTGGGTAATAATAGAGTTTGGGGCTCTTATCGCGATAACACATGACGTCACTACGATGTGCACCCGCACCGACACTGGGACAACAGAATGGCAGTGACTGCAAGCATGGAGACGGCAGAGGAGGAGGACCATTCTGCACTTTATGGACGTCTTTATTCTGCTGCAATATATGTTCCATATGAGGGTTTTTAAAAGCATGTCATTTTCACATAAACAGGAAAAAAAATATTGCAATAAATATCGTTATCGCACATGTTTCAGATTCTATCGCAATATAGATAAGAGGCCGTATCGCCCAGCCCTAGTGGGAGTAAAGTGGTCGTAATCTAACAAAAATGGTCAAATGCTTGGAGAACAACTCAAATTTTAACCATCAAAGATATGAAAAAATACTGTGACGGTTATCTTTCTCTAAACCTTTAGACTTGACTGTACAGGAAAGGAAAAACAACCATCTGTGTGTTCTTGGGTTTTTGTTCTCATCTGATGGAAACGTCTTACACTGCCATCAGTCACAAGAAGAGATGCGAGGCCATCTGAAATCATTCAGAGTCAATCATCCCAGAGTAAGGAAACAAGCGGACCAAGTCGAGACCGCCGCCAATCACAATCAACCCCAGACAGCCTGGCGTGGGCTCTAGGTAACGGTTCCCTCGCAGATCATTTCTCTGACAGGTAAACTTCTCTTGGCTACCATCTTGTTCTGTGTTGTGTTTATTCTACCAGATCTCAACTAATGAAGCTCAGCTTATTGGCATCTTGATGTCTTGGAATAAAACGCAAAGCTGAACGACAGTAAGACAAGATTCCAACATGTTCTAAACTAGAATAAGCCACTGAATGTCCCAACCAGGGTAGGGACAGGGCAAGGACATTTATTTGGAAGCTTTGTTCTTGTCAAGTTTGACAGCATAAAAAATGTAAAAACAGAGATAAAAATTCTTCCAGCATTCCTGATTCTGTTTGCATGTTTCTGTTTAGCGTTGCTTCATTTGTAATTGTAAAATTATGTTTTGCTGCGTTTTTTTTGTCAACAACAGTAAATTAAGGTTAGGGGTGTATCCCTTTTCTCTCCCTTTTGTTGATCGGAGCTCAGATCAGCTGAGCAGTGGGTCTGACCGCTGTGTGCTCGGCAGTGAGAGAAAGAGATGGGGGGGGGGGGGGGGGGAGACTTTAGCTGTTTAACAAATGTGAGAAACAGAATCTGTGGAGGGACAGCATTTAAGGGGATTTGCGTTAGCGTGAGCTATTAATGTAGATAAGACTATCACCCAGCATATTTTACTGAAGACAGTTTTTTGCTCAACATCTGACCAGGTCCATATAACCAACATTACCGTCTTCTTTACAAGCACTTCTTCCATAGCCTCACTTCTATGAGCATTACTATCTAAAATGCATTTCTAATGATCGAGTGGAGAATTATGAATATGAATGTGAAGGATTCATACCTGAACAAAGCCCATAGACGGTGGACCAAAGTCACTGAAAGCTGGCCTAAAGTTGGATGATGATGGGAGGGATGGAGAGGGCACTGAAGAGCCTGCAGAGAAAAGAGTTTGAGCGTGTACGAGTAGATACAAGCAACAAAGCTCCCTCTGAAAAACATCAGATTTCCTCTAGTCATAATAGAGATGACTAGGATTTGTGAGCTAGAGACGAGGCTTATTTGTAGAATAATTCCCTCCCAAGGTAAAGCTAAGTAAGAGGCCAACACTGTGGAGTACCTGGCGGAGTGTGGTTGGAGCCAGATGGAGCAGGCGCAATAGGTTTGTAACTCATGGCGATTTCAGCAGGCAGCTCCACGTACGACGCGCTGCTTCCTTCGGTCCCGTCAATCCAATGCTTATACAGCTTTCCTGGTGATGATGAGCTCCTAAGAGCTGATGCAAAAAAAGCAAATAATAAATTGTGAATCGATTTCTGTTTAAATTAGACAAACTCCCTCCTAGAGATCTGCAAGAGAAAATCTAATGTCCCAACATGCTTTTTACTATTGCTGTGAATCACAACAAACCTGCAACTCAACAGTAAAGAACATTTCTGACTTGAAATTCGTCAATGACATTACTGATCTGTAACCTAGATTATCTTCTGAGTTTTGTTTTATTTTACTCTTGAAATAAATACTTAAAATATTCCAAATAACTGGAAAGTTATATTTTGAATTTGAGTCTACAACAAGTTTTATATTACTAATATTTATATAACTTATTTATTTACAAAGTATTCGATTAGTTAACTGATATGTTCAGAAACATTTTACAATTCAGCTTAAAATCGCCTAATAGTTTAAGATTTTTATTATAACATCAGGCAGCGTGTATGGTAGCAGCTTGTTCACTAGGATTTAGTTTGATTTTCACCAGATGAAAACCATTAACTGTTGAAACAACAGGTGTACTTTACGTTCAAACTGTTTCTGAATGTATTTATCCCACTATAAAATATGGTTTATATCTATTTATTTCATTCAGATCAGTAAGAATACCTGTTCACAGATCAATTGCAGGTTTATAACAGGGTCTAATCAGGTCTGAGTGTGACGGATCACCGTTGTACCGAACGAGCGGAGGAAGACTGCTGAATGAAACAAAAGCTGACGATAGCTTTAAGAGGAAGACACAGAGCAAACTACTACCAGCGTTAAAGAGATTAGCTAGCCTTTACCGGCTAGCATAACAAAACAAATGAAGACAAAAAACAGCTGTAACAACGCGTTAATACGCCACACGCAGCAAGTGAACTCTAACCGGTTAACTACACGTCTGGTGGCTGACTAAAGCCCGAACATTTCAAAACAATGTTTTCTTTATACCTTTTTACGAAGAGCTGAAATCTTCTGGGTAACGTTAGCCCAGGCGCTTCCTTTGGCTACGCGCATGCGTACAAAAGGAAAGATGGCGTAGTCATTTTTTTAACATGTACAGTAACGTGATTGGCTATAGGAGAAAAACGCATCACATGACGTCCGCATACGGGGAGGGGTGAGTGGGTAACCGCAAATATATCAGTCAATTTAATACAGCATAACGAAAAACACAAAACTAAACCGCATTATGCAAAAAAAAAAATAAAAATTAAAAAAGTAATCTGTTTTTATTTCATTTTTTAGCACAAATTTTAAAAATGCAAAGAGTTTCCAGCGCCCTATTACTCGTTCAACGTGTATCCTGACACGAGACAGTTGTCTTGATGAGTCTACCTCCTGAGCAGAGAGTTGCTTTTTCCCTTTTGTGAACTGAGGTATACGGAGTGGCTCCACAAGCGGCAAGTTCATCTCGGATTTGAAATCCTCTATCAGCTAGAATCTCATCATTGTGTTCTAAAAGATCAAAAAGCCCCGACTCTTTTGTTATTTGTCTGTCTGAAACCCTTCCACCTCATGCAGGTGACAGAAAGGAAATTGCTCCAGCTGGGGTGATGCCAATCAAATATTTAATTGTGTTGCTGTGTTTGTAATTTGACCATGTCTGGGCCCTAGCAGTTAGATTGCTAGGTCTAGCAATGAAAATTTCTGTACAGTCTATTATGCACCGACATCGTTTGAAATTCCGTCTGAAAACTTTGGGCATGCTCTTTAGTACGGCTCCCTTACTTGCCCATTTAATGAGTGGTTTAAGGATTACAGACACGGCAGGTATCCAGCTTCGACAAATATTTGATATAGTTGTTTTAGAAACATTAAATCTGTATGCCAAATCCGTGTTGCTTAGACCCAGTCTTACTTTCATTAGCACAACCAATAGATGATCTTGAGCGGTTAGCTTTTGGCAAATTATCTCCACACTATCTGTTATTTTTGTTAGCAGCCAATCAAAGACAAGAGTTGTAAGTCCTGTGGGAAAAAAAACAGTGCTCCCCTGTTGCACCTAATATTTGCATAGGAAAACGCTGAATTTGTCAGCTCCTCTTTAAGCTTACAATTTTCTGCCTTAAGTTTTTCAAACTCCAGCTGCAGGTCGACATGGTTTTTATGAAGCCCAGCACATCTTTGTTGTAGGCCATCATTTTCACTCCTTGGAACAGGGAGGTCCTCGTTAGCTTTAACACAGAAATATGAAAAGTTAGCAAATGCAGCAACAAGTCCACACAAATATTTTTATTTTTGACTAGTGTGTAAACTAAATAAATCGATTTATGGTCTGAAACAAGCTGGTCGGAACTGGAACAACACACTAAATTAATATTTATGTGAAAATGATTTCATACAGAACCCTGCAGATCAGTGTGTGTATTCCAGAGTAAACAGAAAGGACAAAATAATCATCATAGTTTGGGTGGATGATTTACTCATAGCAGCGTCAGATCTAAAAGTACTGAAGGATATCAAGACAGTCTTGTCTTCGTCTTCCTCCGCTTATCCGGGTCCGGGTCGCGGGGGCAGCATCCCAACTAGGGAGCTCCAGGCCGTCCTCTCCCCGGCCTTGTCCACCAGCTCCTCCGGCAGGACCCCAAGGCGTTCCCGGACCAGATTGGAGATGTAACCTCTCCAACGTGTCCTGGGTCGACCCGGCGGCCTTCTGCCGGCAGGACATGCCCGAAACACCTCCCCGGGGAGGCGTCCAGGAGGTATCCTGACCAGATGCCCAAACAACCTCAACTGACTCCTTTCGATCCGGAGGAGCAGCGGTTCTACTCCGAGTCCCTCCCGAATGTCCGAGCTCCTCACCCTATCTCTAAGGCTGAGCCCGGCCACCCTACGGAGGAAACTCATTTCGGCCGCTTGTATCCGCGATCTCGTTCTTTCGGTCATTACCCAAAGCTCATGACCATAGGTGAGGATTGGGACGTAGATCGACCGGTAAATCGAGAGCCTGGCTTTCTGGCTCAGCTCCCTCTTCACCACGACAGATCGGCTCAGCGTCCGCATCACTGCAGACGCCGAACCAATCCGCCTGTCGATCTCCCGATCCCTCCTACCCTCACTCGTGAACAAGACCCCGAGATACTTAAACTCCTCCACTTGAGGTAGGACCTCTCCCCCAACCCGGAGGTGGCAAGCCACCCTTTTCCGGTCGAGAACCATGGTCTCAGTCTTGTCTACCAGATTTAATAAGAAATACCTAGGACAGCTAAAACATTTTCTTGGAATTGATTTTAATCAAAGTACTGATTGTGTAAAAATGTCTCAGACTGAATATGTTGAAAAGATTTTACAACGATTTGACATGCAAGATTGTAAAATAAGAACCACCCCATGTGAACAGAGACTAGACTACAGTAATGAACAAACAAAGATGATGGATGTTAGAAAATATAGAGTCGGTGGGTAGTCTTATCTATTTGTCCACATGTACTAGACCGGATCTGAGTTATGTTACAAGTAAACTGTCTCAGTACTTCTCTGAACCAACCGAACAACAATGGACTACTGTCAAACATGTCTTAAGGTATCTGAGAGGTACTTCTGATAAAGAACTGTGTTTTAAAAAGTGTGTAGACCACAAGCTCGGCCTGCATGCGTACAGCGACGCAGACTGGGCCGCAGATGAGACAGATCGTCGGAGTGTGACAGGTTTCTGTATTAGTCTTTCAGAAGGGGGACCTCCTATCTCATGGAGAACCAGAAAACAACCCACAGTTGCTTTATCTACTTGTGAAGCTGAATATGTGTCACTGGCTGTTACAATCCAGGAATGTTTGTATTTAATGCAACTCCTAGAGCATATGGATAAATATGAGTATAAGCTACCTGAGATATTTGAAGACAACCAGGGAACTATTGCTCTAGCTAAGAACCCCGTGAAAAGACAGCGGTGTAAACATATAGATGTGAAATATCATTTTCTCAGATCTACGTTGAAACAAGGAAAGGTTAACTTAAACTATTGCCCGACTAATGAAATGGTCGCAGACATTTTGACAAAGCCCACAACCCTGTGCAAGTTATCAAGGATTAGTAAGTTTTTGTTCAAAGGTAAAGGTTAAAGATTTTTGTTTCATATAAAGGACTAAGGTCGGAGCAAGTGGGGGTGTTGAGATATGTGCTCTGATGTGTTAAATGTTTTACATGAGACTCTTATTTTGGAAAAACTGTTAGAGGAAATGACGTATGCTGTCATGTGATATGTTATGTTCCAATAAGAATAGTTAAAAAATGAACTTTGAACTCCCCCATCCACCAATAAAAGCAGAGCTTTGGTAAATATGAATCAGCTGCTGCTGCCGTAGACGCCGAACTCAAAACGATAATTCCTCTCGGTGTTTTTGTGAGAAAGTCAGTGCTGCTGCGCACGATATCTGCTAACAGTAACAGAAAATACAAAATCCTTACCGGCATGGTGAGCCAATGATGGTTGCTGATCTGTGTTCTCTGCAGCATCCAGCTGATTTGATGGCATGCAAGACGTTTCATCCCTTCTCCTTTTCCGTTGATACCTTAATGTAACAGGTCTACATTACTTAACAGTTACACAAGTCAAGAGCCAAGATATAATAACACTGAACATCATGAATAGCAAGCAAGAATTTCTAAATATTAAATATATCTGAAGGTGTAAACATTACCTGTCCATCTTTGCATGGGGGTTTGGACTTCGCTTTGTGTGCGTAAACACAGAAGGCACAAAATCAGGACTCGAGGAGTCCATTGACACCTCGCCTGTAAATAAATAGACTGCTTAAAGCAAACCAGCAAACGCAACTTACTTTATTTAATAGAACACGTTAACCAGCTTTCTGGTGTAATCTTAGTACATAATTACCTTACCTGATATAAAATGGGCGCTACAAATTCGAGCATTTCGGATCGTGTTTTCTGTCCAGTTTTCATCAACCCTGTTGATGGCCTGCAGCCACAGACGCCTCCGATTCTGTTGAAATGGATGTGCTCCCTTCGGAATTCTGTATAGTTTCAGCCCACTGCTTGAAGAGAAGCGATTCTGGCATCCATTCACGCAACAACCCGACATTTGTATGTGCTCAGAACTTCAAATCAAAGGGTTAAAACGTTGTTTTAGTATCGAGCGTGAATGAGGAAGCCTTCACTCTCGTTGCCAGGCTGCGCGCGCAACTTTTGATGACGTAGGTAGTAAAAGGGTCTATATGCGGTGGGTAACCGCAAATATATCAGTAAATTTAATACAGCAAAACACAAAACTAAACCGCATTATGTAAAAAAAATCAATTAAAAAAAGTAATCTGTTTTTATTTCATTTTTTAGCACAAGTTTTAAAAATGCAAAGAGTTCACCATACAGAGCACACCATACTGAGCACAATAAAATAATGATAAACAATAATGAATTAACATGTATTTGTGGAGAAGCCACACAGGTTTTTGAAAACACCATTTCCCCTTAAAAAATAAAATTAAAATAAACGCATTTTGTTAAACTGTATACCGTAAATCCTCTAATACAGGACCGGGCCTGTATTTGACTCAAGCTCATCAAGCTCCAGGCCTTTATTGGAAGGAGGGCCAGAATTAGAGGCAGGCCTCTATTTCTATTTGAGCAAAATGAACTAATGGTTTGCTGGAGTTTTTGACAATTAAAATTGTGCCCACATTTTCAAAGTTAAACACATTTCTTTTAACAACGGTAGTTTCTGCTTCAGCCCTCCCCCCCCTCCCCGCACAGCGGCGCAAACTCACTGATGCGCCTGCAGCCTCTCAGAGTTCCTGCTGCTCTAAACATTAAAATAATTATTTCATTTTCTGTTCCTCACTTCTGATTACCTTCAATGGTGTCTGTTTGTTGCAACCACCAGGTACAAAAACTAGCTTGTTTTTATTTGACTATTTTTCTGTCCTGCCTGTTTATTATCTTCCTGCATCTCCTCTCAATCCTAAAGAGAAACTGCTACCTGGCTTCATATATATTCACCTTATGAGTTACCTTTGAACTGCAGTTCTAAAAGATCTACCGACCGCAAAAACAGCGGAGTGCTCGCTGCTTGGCGGCCGCATCAGTGATCAGTGCGTCGGAGGACAAGGTGATGCGCCCCGCTCCACAGCGAAACGCATCAGGTGCAAATAAAAGACAGAAAACATTAAAGGAAATGAACAGACATGAACAATCGCGTGTTAACTTAGTTTTTGAGGTGGCGACACCTGATTGTTACTGTGGCCGTGCTCAGGACGCAGATCTACCGACCGCAAAAACAGCGGAGTGCTCCGTGCTTGGCGGCCGCATCAGTGATCGGTGCGTCACCGGAGGACAAGGTGATGCGCCCCGCTCCACAGCAGCGAAACGCATCAGGTGCAAATAAAAGACAGAAAACATTAAAGGAAATGAACCGACATGAATGATCGCGTGTCAGTACCGACGCTCTGGCACAGCATCTTGCCCTCCTGAGTGCAGGAGCTTGTCACCTGCTGATAGCAGGCTGCTGTATTTTCCGAGGGCTGCATCTTGCCGGTCATTATCACGTGACAGCGACTAGTCGATGACAGGCATAAAAAGTCACTATAGTGAAGTCGACTAGTTCAAACAACCGCTATTGCTCCCCAGTGTTCTGCAGCGCACGTTCTCTTTGAACTTGATATCAAAATTTCGCCTCCTCTTCGTCTCCGCACGGTTAAAGTTACCCTCGCGGTCTATCATTGGCAAATCAAAAGTGAGACAATGACACAACCGCCCCCCATACTTGCTTGTTGCCACATTCCACCCGGCCACAATAAGAGACCGGCCATTCTTCACCTCCTCCGACACCGGCCAAAATATGAGACCCGGCCGTTAATTGAATACAGGCCTGTATTAGAGGATTCACGGTAATTACATTATTCTATAGGCTTGCCGTCATGGCTGCTCTGAGCGCCGTCATGGCTGCTCTCGTGGTCTGCGTGTATCTGTCCTGTCTATATGTGTGTGTGTAATCTTGGTCAGGCTGTACTGTGGAGTCAAGTTCCTATGCTCTGGATCGCTGGAGCGCTGGCAATAAAATTCATTCTGATTCTGATTCTGATTAATTGTAACAAAAAGACAGAAAAAAAATCCAAACAAATGTGCTGCCAACAAACTGTTTCCTATATTTTGCGAGTGTTCTGAAGTTATCTAAAATGTTTATATGAGAATTCCATGCCTTGGGTTCATGGTACCGAAGAGAAAAATGCCCTCAACTACGAACAAATGTACATATGGAAAAAGTATTAACATCAAATAGATTCAATAACTTTAATTTAAAAAAAACAATGGCGCACTAGGAGCATCAGTGGAAAATGTTAATGTTTTAACAATTCTTTTTTTAAGATGAAAAATGTATTTAGGTAGGTCTTAAAAGTAGATCCTCAAGATATATTACAGTATGTTAAATAGATCAAACTATAATATAGCATTAAAAGACATTTATAATAAAATAAAATAATCTAAAAACAATGATAAATACAAAACAGGATGAAGTTACTTTTTTAAACTTCACTGTTGCTGTTGATATTTTTTGCCTTTTCATTTGAGTTTATTGTGTTTAGAAGGAAAAATTTGAACATAATCATTGAGATCCTTTTGTAATAACTTTTGTCAATGTTCTTTTATTTTTTTTAATGCAAGCCAGGTAGAGACTATGGGAGCCAAACGTATAGCTGTGTGGGCAGAAATACGTAGCCTGGCCTGTAAGACTCCTCCTCTGTTTAATTCTGCACAAAGGGTCTGGGAACCCTCCTATTTAAATGACCCCACCCCCTGAGAATTCGAACCGAGCCAATCAGCATGGAGTAGCGTACGTCACATGCCACAACGCTGAGTTTGTCATAAACATGGTGACTGAAGTGAAATTTGCTGCGGCTCTTTCCTCTGTTCTAAATGACTTGGGCACGTCTTTGAAACCACAAGTAGAAGCGCTAAAAGCCTTTCTTCTAAAAATAAGACATTTGTGCCATTGCCAGACGATATTTTTGACTACAGCTAAAAAATCTAAAGCGTTGCACGTTACAGTCGGTATTTCCGTCTTTTTTCTGATTGGTTATTTTTGAGCTGGCTAGCCCCGCCCCTCATGTGCCTCTCTGGCTGTGAGTAACCAGACTCTTTCTCAGAACTAAACAGAGGACGAGTCTGGCAGGCCAGGCTAAAAAATATGACCAGCATGCATTGATCTGGGCCCTTTATTTCTACCAAAGCAGGAGAAGTGGAAGTCCTTTAAATAGTCAGTTTATCAATATAGCATTTAGTATGGAAGCACATTCCTGCCACTCTAATTAAAAATATAATTTTTATCTCATAATTATGACTTAGCTATCTCATAGAGATAGCTAAGTCATAATTATGAGACAAAAATAATTATTTGTAAATCAGAGAGGCGGGAATGAGCAGCCATAACAAAGCATGAAGCACTATGAAAAATGTATTCAAAGTATAAGTATTGGGAGAATGTCCTGTACAAACCCGTTAACAGCTGCAACTAATGCAAATCAGTTTAAAATGTAAGAATAGCTGAAACTACGGAACATAAAGATGTTATTAAACCATAAATGACATTTAGAAATATAGACTGACAAACTGCACATCAAATTCACCACAGGGCAACAACATTGTGAACAACCCTATTTGTGTCACCTTACTGTAGTGAAAGATCCCATTTTAGTGCATAGAATAGAATTTTCCTTTATTGTCTCATCGGTGAGGAAATTTAAGTCTCACAGCATAAATTACATTCACAACAAGGGCAAAAAGGAGAGTAAAAATAAAAAGGTAAGTAAAATTTAAGAGTAAACAGCAAAAAACATTATAAATATTATAAATACTTAAAGATTCAAATATCTAAATAGTGGACAAGTACACATTTTATAGAATAAAATTTATTATGTAGTAAATGAAGAAACACACACAGAGAGAGAGAGAGAGAGAGAGAGAGAGAGAGAGAGAGAGAGAGAGAGAGAGAGAGAGAGAGAGAGAGAGAGAGAGAGAGAGAGAGAGAGAGAACAAACTGCCTGAATGACCCCATAGATGGACAGAAACATTTTGGGTGCCTTTTTACTTTAAACACAGTTGTGTGTGAACATCTAATTAGAATAAAATACATGCATTTCTTAATGGTGGTGGAGCAAGAACTCACCTTTGTGGAACCATAGGGAAGCTTTTCTGCACATTTGAAAAGTAAATCACAGGCCTTTGAAAGTTTGTGTGATTGTAAAGGGCGACTGAGCCCTGAACCACTCAAAAAAAATCATCAAGATCAAACTTCTCACAGAGAGCAGTCAGAAGACACAGAGCTACAAAAGATGTTTTAGTCACTTTGCCTTGAGCTCATTGCTATTTTTAAAACTATCGAACTCAGCTGGTTTGTGTAATGGATGCTACAATAAGAGCAGCCTCTATTCTTCATGACATATATGAAGGATATAAGGAATGCATTTTTAAGAGTAATAGCATGTCTAGGATTCTTACATCTGCACTCAACACCATCATTCCGCTTCCGGTCAGTAACAAGACGGCGCCTGTGTTTGGCCGCAGTCACCAGCCACTTTTTCAAACTTTTCTCCACTAACCTCCTCTTTTCCACCTTGCTCCTGTCTGCGATCCTCTTCAGTAGTGTCCCTGCTACCATCTCCTATGATCGCCAGACCCTTTAGTCCTTCCGTTCGTTCACGATCGCCCAAGATGCACCGAAGACGTACCTCCCTCTTTGTTTATCTGAGTGGCGCACTGGCCCGGAGCCAAACGACGTTTCCAACCATGGCGCCTCCAGCGATGTTTATCCGGTCCCAGGGAAAACGTCGGAGGAAAAGAGGTAAACGAGCAGGAATCCAGGTGGAACTCTCTCCCCCTGAGCCTGAGATCAGTGGACTCAGTGGACTCCTTTAAAAAGCAGCTGAAAACTCAACTGTTCCGGCTGGCTTTTGTACAACCTTCTTCACCTCTCTCTCTTTATTCTGCTCCCCCCACCTATTCCACCTTCCTCAGGATCCACTGATTTCCCTCTTTTGTCATGGCCTGCGTCTGCGTCTCCCTCATGTGTCTCCTTGTGTTCTCCATCCCTCTCTAGGTTCTCCTTATGTGTCTTCTAGTGTC